GACTGGCTGCCTGTTTTGAATGGTTTCACCGTACAGCCTCATTCATTCTTCCTGTGCTTGGTGGCAGTGTGGAGTGGCTGTGACAGAATTGTGTGAGCCATGAGACTATGGAAAAAGGTTGCCAACTCCTGGTATAGGAAAATGGGCAAAAATAGACAGTTCACAAAAGAGATGAAAAAGTAGCTCTTAAATACCATGTTCAGCTTTTTTCATAGAGTAGACATTGTTGGCAGGAATGAAAATAATTCCACCAGTTTGGGGGGAGATGGTAAAATCTACTTGTGCATTTACCTTTGGACCCAGCTCTGCCAATCCAGGAAGTTACTCTGAGAATACAAAATGGAGATGCACATTCGCTGGTAAATGGATGGAATTGAAGAACATCATTCTGAGTGAGGTTAGCCTGGCTCAAAAGACCAAAAATCGTATGTTCTCCCTCATATGTGGACATTAGATCAAGGGCAAACACAACAAGGGGATTGGACTATGAGCACATGATAAAAGCGAGAGCACACAAGGGAGGGGTGAGGATAGGTAAGACACCTAAAAAACTAGCTAGCATTTGTTGCCCTTAATGCAGAGAAACTAAAGCAGATACCTTAAAGCAACTGAGGCCAATAGGAAAAGGAGACCAGGAACTAGAGAAAAGGTTAGATCAAAAAGAATTAACCTAGAAGGTAACACCCACGCACAGGAAATCAATGTGAGTCAATGCCCTGTATAGCTATCCTTATCTCAACCAGCAAAACCCCTTGTTCCTTCCTATTATTGCTTATACTCTCTCTACAACAAAATTAGAGATAAGGGCAAAATAGTTTCTGCTGGGTATTGAGGGGGGGAGCGGGAGGGGGTGGAGTGGGTGGTAAGGGAGGGGGTGGGGGCAGGGGGGAGAAATAAACCAAGCCTTGTATGCACATATGAATAATAAAAGAAAAATGAAAAAAAAAAAAACAAAACAAAATGGAGATGCAATCCATGGGGAAATTCCTCTTGAGAAAAGTGCCATATTAGTAACGGGTGTAGTTACTAACTTTATGAAGAGCTAAAAGAAATTTCTAGTTTGTTAAGCCAAGTTTTTTTTTTTAATGTGTATTTTGAAAATGTTTTAATTGGAGGTTGGGTTAGAATTTGCTTCTAGTTGAATTGATAATTAGTATGGTTATTTAGGTCCAGGGAAATTTCTTTTGGTGAAAAAGGGCTAAGTTTAAGTGCTATGTTAGTATTGAGAGGTAGTAATCGTATAAAAAAACTAAAATTTCACTTAGCCAATTTTTTTTAAAATGTATTTTGAAAATACACAAAATAAGAAAACACATGCATGTGATTATTGCAGCACTGGTTTTCATTGAAACATATTGGAAACTGCCCAGTTATCCAAGCCTTACACATTGGTTCAATAAAGCCAGTAGGTTCATATTGTGGAGTACTATGCAGTTATGAAAATGAGTGAGAAAGATCTTCGTGAACTGTAGTGAAGTGATTCTCCAGATGTTGTTAAACGGAAGACTCTGTGTGAGAAAGAAAGGAAAATAACAGGCCACGCTTATGTCTGCTCTCCTTTCAGGAAGGAAGCAGGAAGGATAAATGGAAAGCAAAGAGCAGTGCATTTCCAGGAGGAGGTGGATGGTGCTGGAAGGAGTATAGGAGTTTAGGGTTATCTGTTTATATTGTACGTTAACTCAAGAAAATCAACTTAAAGGAGGAAAGGTGGATTTTAACTCATGGTTTCAGTCCGTGGTTGCTTGGCCCTGTCACTGTAGGCCTGAGACAAGATTGAACGTCATGACAGGGAATGCATGCAGGAGCAAAGCTGCTCACCTCATGGCAGCCGGAAAGCAGAGAGCCAGAGAGAAAGAGGCCAGGGACCAACTTCCTCCAACCAGGCCACACCTCCCAATAGCCCATTCTGTATGAACTCATCAGTGAGCCAACCCATTGAGGAAGGTAGGGCCCTTGGAATCCTGTTACCTCTCAATAGTGCCACCAGCTGGGGTTCAAGCCTTTGACACACAGTCTTTGGGGACAGTTCTTATCCAAACTATAACATACAGTTTTGACTCTGACAAGTTTGTTGGTGTTCTGCATATTCAGCACATGAACTTAAAGGGTGGGAAGGGGAAACAGCCAAAAAGTCAAAGCAAGAAGACATATACACACATAACTGTATTTCATACAACGATGGAGAAGGGGGCTGAGATGAGTCAGTTCTGAGCTCTTGTTAGTGGTTTGTGTTTTTCAGTGGTCTGAGATTATTTAGACATGACAGCATTGAGCTAACATGTTGATGTTGCTGGAAGCCAGGGTTCTCCCTGTGAAGGAAGAGGCATCCAGACATGGATGGGGAGAGGTGAGACTGGATTTCTGGGAAGAAGTTTGTGTCTGTGCACACAAGTGTTTGCGACCTGCAAGTGCATACACATGTACACCCTGTGTATACTTTGCCACCAGATGGAAGGCCAGGTGTGTAGAACATCTGGTTTTTTCATGCCTCCTCCATCAGAAGAGCCAGGCTTGAGAAAGGCTGATCAAGGTCAGGCAGAGTGTCAGGGAAGGCTCTGAGATACCTTCTTAGACAAGAGTGAGACAGTGCTGGCAGATACTGATGGGGGTGTGTGGGCTTCCAGGCCTGGCTTACTGCTCCACGGCAGTGTTTGGCAGTGCCTATGTGGGGTGTTCTGCATGCATGTGTATGTGTATAGTTTTGTTGGTTTTCACTACCAAAAGGTGAGCCTGTTGAGGGCACACTCTTTTTTTTTTTTTTTTTTTTTCATTTTTCTTTTATTATTCATATGTGCATACAAGGCTTGGTTCATTTCTCCCCCCTGCCCCCACCCCCTCCCTTACCACCCACTCCACCCCCTCCCGCTCCCCCCCTTAATACCCAGCAGAAACTATTTTGCCCTTATCTCTAATTTTGTTGTAGAGAGAGTATAAGCAATAATAGGAAGGAACAAGGGTTTTTGCTGGTTGAGATAAGGATAGCTATACAGGGCATTGACTCACATTGATTTCCTGTGCGTGGGTGTTACCTTCTAGGTTAATTCTTTTTGATCTAACCTTTTCTCTAGTTCCTGGTCCCCTTTTCCTATTGGCCTCAGTTGCTTTAAGGTATCTGCTTTAGTTTCTCTGCGTTAAGGGCAACAAATGCTAGCTAGTTTTTTAGGTGTCTTACCTATCCTCACCCCTCCCTTGTGTGCTCTCGCTTTTATCATGTGCTCATAGTCCAATCCCCTTGTTGTGTTTGCCCTTGATCTAATGTCCACATATGAGGGAGAACATACGATTTTTGGTCTTTTGGGCCAGGCTAACCTCACTCAGAATGATGTTCTCCAATTCCATCCATTTACCAGCGAATGATAACATTTCGTTCTTCTTCATGGCTGCATAAAATTCCATTGTGTATAGATACCACATTTTCTTAATCCATTCGTCTGTGCTGGGGCATCTTGGCTGTTTCCATAACTTGGCTATTGTGAATAGTGCCGCAATAAACATGGATGTGCAGGTGCCTCTGGAGTAACAGTCTTTTGGGTATATCCCCAAGAGTGGTATTGCTGGATCAAATGGTAGATCGATGTCCAGCTTTTTAAGTAGCCTCCAAATTTTTTTCCAGAGTGGTTGTACTAGTCTACATTCCCACCAACAGTGTAAGAGGGTTCCTTTTTCCCCGCATCCTCGCCAACACCTGTTGTTGGTGGTGTTGCTGATGATGGCTATTCTAACAGGGGTGAGGTGGAATCTTAGTGTGGTTTTAATTTGCATTTCCTTTATTGCTAGAGATGGTGAGCATTTTTTCATGTGTTTTCTGGCCATTTGAATTTCTTCTTTTGAGAAAGTTCTGTTTAGTTCACATGCCCATTTCTTTATTGGTTCATTAGTTTTGGGAGAATTTAGTTTTTTAAGTTCCCTGTATATTCTGGTTATCAGTCCTTTGTCTGATGTATAAATTGGCAAATATTTTTTCCCACTCTGTGGGTGTTCTCTTCAGTTTAGAGACCATTTCTTTTGATGAACAGAAGCTTTTTAGTTTTATGAGGTCCCATTTATCTATGCTATCTCTTAGTTGCTGTGCTGCTGGGGTTTCATTGAGAAAGTTCTTACCTATACCTACTAACTCCAGAGTATTTCCTACTCTTTCTTGTATCAGCTTAAGAGTTTGGGGTCTGATATTAAGATCCTTGATCCATTTTGAGTTAATCTTGGTATAGGGTGATATACATGGATCTAGTTTCAGTTTTTTGCAGACTGCTAACCAGTTTTCCCAGCAGTTTTTGTTGAAGAGGCTGCTATTTCTCCATCGTATATTTTTAGCTCCTTTGTCAAAGATAAGAGGGCACACTCTTAACTGTTTCTTTTGCTGACATCCCATCTCCCAGAACAGGACAATGTTTCTTCATAACTACTGAGGACATTACAGAGCTTTTGCCATTTAACATGTCAGAAATTAAAGCTAAAGATAAAAAATTATTAACTTATTTAAAATTAATAGTAAGCTCATTACACATTGCATAAATGACATACTTACAAACAAGGAATTTTGACAACACAAGCATTTGGTGAGGGTGGGTTTATTATGAGCTGTGTTTTCAGCTAGGTGATGAGAACATTTGGGCTCCCACATCTGGTTCACATGTGTCTGTAGTGATACTATACACATGTGGCCTGTACAGAAGAAAAAGGAAGGCAAATGACATCTTAAGACTGTGGAATGAATGGTCTTGACCTAAGGAGCTCTGAAATGGCCTTGGGCTTCCCCTGGGAGTCCCTGGACTACTTTAAAAACTTTTAGCTTCAGAAAATTCTATTTCCTGGAAGGTATTTAGTAAGTTCTTCTTTCAATAAGTAAATTCCAAAATGACGGTGTGATTTGGCTGGCACCTGGCTGAATTTGTGAGCTCTGGGTGCGTTTAGCAGTTTGTCCTCAGGCCTCGGTCCCCTTACATTCTCCCATGAGTGTGGCATGTCACAGCCTCAGTTCCTCTTTCTTCTCCCTGTGACAGGTGTCCCTGTGAACAGCAGAGTGTCCTCTAAAATCCAGCAGCTGTTGAACACCCTGAAGAGGCCAAAACGCCCTCCTTTGAAGGAGTTCTTTGTGGATGATTTTGAGGAATTGTTGGAAGGTAGAGTTCTGATTTGAGCTTCCATGTTTCTGTGAACATGGTAGCCATGAAGTCTGGAAACTCAGGCAAATGTGTATCACACGTGAGTTATTGCCATTATGTTGTAGCACAGGACAGTCCTGGACATTTGTGCACATTGGTGAGTGTGAACCCACATGGGCTGCCTCCTTTATGTGAGCGGGTAGAAAACTCATGACTCATATTAAAGTGATTTTGCATTTCTCTGTGCATCCAGTCCAGTGGTTAGCACTTCATAATAATCCTTATAAGGTCTCATTTAATTTACAATGCTTTTAATGCCTGGCCAGCCCATGCAGGTGTGGTAGAACATGGGCTGATCAACAAAACCTGCTTCCTGGGCCTGCAGCCTGCCCTTATGGCCATGGTGCTGGGCGTGGGGTGCTGTGATGCCACAGTCCAGCCCCAAGGGTGGGGAATGGAAATGCCATCCTGTGGCCACCTTTGTCTTGTGAGGCTGTGGTTACCAGGATGGTGGGTTGTTTTTATTTCAAAGCCATCATTGTCAATGACTGAATCTCATATAGTTCTTTGGTTAATTGATCTGTGACTATGATAATGATAAGGAAATCTAATGTAAGATTTTTATAGTTGAGATGACAAAACAAAATCATAAAACACAAATGCTTAAAAACAATGTGTGCATGGTAGTCTAAAATATTGGGTTTTAAATTTTGATTTTTTGCTTGTAGTCCAACAGCCAGATCCAAACCAGCCAAAGCCTGAGGGAGATGAAATGGCAGTACTAAGAGGGGAGCCTCTGGCAATGGGGACCCCCTGGCCACCATCTTTGCTGGGTGCCCTGCAGTGCTGGGGCACAACACACCCCAAAGCCCCCTGTCTGACTGCCTTGGATACCATGGGAAAGGCTACCTGCACCCTCACCTATGGCAAGTATCAGCAGGACGCATGTGTTCTTGTTCACTATGAATTTATTATACATGCACTGAAGCACAAACATGCTACCTCTGAATGTTGTAAAGCAAAGTCCTCAGAAGCCAATGTAGCCATCAGAGGGACCATGGGTGGCTGTGGTTTTCAGTGTTTGAAGTGTGTATGTGTTCTAAACAGTGTAGTTTAGTTTTGCATTATTTTGGACTTTGTATAAATGGAATCAAGTAGTATGTGAGATCTTTGGTTCCTTATTATGTTTTTACCTAAGAACTTGTGAGCATGAAGCGCTTGATGCTTTTTCCAGAGTGAATACAGTCCTGAGAGCAGAAACCTTGCTGGGTCCAGGCTGATGGTGCCCCTCCACACATAGGGAAACCATGGCCTCAACTACACACACTGCTGGCTTGCCATGTCTTGAAATTTTATATAAACAGGATTACATAGAAGGTGTTCTTTTATGTGTATTCATTTCTCTAGCATGAGGCTCATCTGTGATGCTGTGTGTTTATTCTCATTGGTGGCATTGTTTCATTTGATAAATATATCAGACTTGCTTTTGCATCCCACAGCAGGTGGACACTTGGGTTGCTGTGTCTGGTACTGTATGAATATTCTTGCTGAGTCTCTAAGTGAGCAATGCATGCATTGCTGCTGGGTATAAATCAGGAACAGAGCCTCCAGCTTCAGGACCTTGTGCCACATAGCTCCTCAGCCACACCTGATACTGTTCCCTTTCATTCTTTTTTGTTGGTGGTTTACAGTGTGGAGTTGGATTCCAATTTGCATTTGCTTGATGACTGATGATGCTTTTAATGGGCTTTTATGAACTATTAAGATACTTGGCTCCTTTTTCTATTTGCTTGTCAATGTTACTGCTTTATGTTTTGTAAACATCTTCTCTCACTGTTCAGATTGCTTTTTTTTTTTTTTTTTTAAAGCAGGTTACTGTGTGGTCCACGTTGGCCTGGAGCTCATGATGCTTTAGCCTCTCAAGTGCTGGGATTATAGGTGTGAATCACCATGCCTAGCTTATATTGCCTTTTAATACTTCTTATGATTTTTGATGAATGAGAAATCTTAATGTAGTCTAATTTGTCTGTCCTCATCCCTTATTGTAGTTGATTTTTGTCCTTTTTAAAAAGTCTTTGCCAAGCCTAACGTCATCAAAATATTCTCCTACACATTCTTTTAAAAACTTCATTGTTTTACTTTTGACATGTAGGTATTGTGCTCCATCTGGAATTTAATTTTGTGTACTGTGTAAAGTTGGATCACTTCCCTTCTTTATGACCAGCTAGTTGACTTTGTGCCATTCATTGAAAAGGCAAGTTCCCCCAGGTACAGCAGCGTCATTTTGTCTCGTATCAGGTGAAAAATACATTTGTGACTCTGTCTCTGGACTGCTTTTGGTTCCATCTGGCTATTGTCCAACTTGTCTGTTGTCTGTCCATCTCCGAATCAGTGTTGCTCTTTGAGGTTCAGTCTCCTGGCACATGGGCCTCCAGCTGTGTGATCAATTCTGGTGTTGCTGATCTTGGCCCTTTGTATTTCCAAGTAAACTTTAGAACCAGCTTGTTACTTTGCATAAAAATTCCTTCTGGGATACTCATTGCATTGACTCTGTAGTTGAATTTGAAGAGAACTGATATTATAATTAGAAACTTCTAGTTCATGTCTCTGAACTGTTTCCCCCATTTAAAGGCCTTCTTTAATTTCTCTCAGTAATGCTTTTGTACTTCTGAGTACAGAATTCCTGAACAGCTTTTATTAGATTTATTCCTATCATAAATGGTATAATGTTAACTTTTTTCTACCAATTTGCTGGTCCTATAGCCTGAGGGTTCAGCACATTTCCCATGGGGCCAGCTATGCTCCTGGGGGATTTTTCTATGCCCTGGTATTGCTCATGGCCTCAGTGGGAGCCAGGAGCCACACACCACAGCACAGCAGCTGCTCCTTTCCAACTCTTAGATCCTCTAGTCTTTGCTGCCTGTAGCAGGTGTTTTCTGTGTTAAACACAGTCTTAAATAGTACTTGAGGCAAAAGTACTCTGTCTTTGAACACACTGCCCTTTGATTCATCCATGTTAATGTGTGCAGTGGTAATCCATTTACTTCTGTGGGGGAAAAATATATCAGAATTCACTTATCCATTATGTGTTTGGTGGACACTGGGGTTATTTCCAGTTTTGGCATGTCAGCACAACTTTGTCGGGTGAGTGCTTGGGAGTGGAAAGCTAGGCTTGCAATTGGCAGCCCTCATACTTGCTGGATACTACACTTTTCCTGTACACACATGCCACCAGCATGAAAGACCCCCTGCTCCCTGAAACTGCCAGCACTTGGCATCACCAGGCTTACTAATTTCAGCTGATCCAGTGAGAATGTAAGGATGTCACATTTTGGGTTTAGTGTGCATTTTCCTGGTGTTGAGAGGTTGAGATCTTTGCTTGTCATCTGGATTTTTCTCTTTCACTAAGTATTCATTGACTCTTGCACACTTCTTTGAACATCCAGAGCTACTTGTAGGAATTTTTTTCTGTTTAGATTGCCCATCCTGTGCTGGCGACATACTGCAGTTATCTTCTCTACTGTAGGGCTGAGCCTCTCACTTCACAGTGGTGGCTCAATGAATAGCAGTTACACCCTTGTTCACTTTCTTTTCTTTAATGGTTCTTGATTTTATTTTATTTAAAAAAAATTTTTTTTAATTTTTATGTTTCCTTTGCTTTTTTTTTAATTTTTATTTTTATTTTATTCATATGTACAATTTTATTTTTTTTTTTTTGAGACAGGGTCTTGCCATGTAGCCAGGCTGACCTCGATCTTGCATTCCTTCTGCCTTGGCCTCTTGAGTGCTGGGGTTACAGACGTGGCCACTGTGCATGGGGTTTGTGACGTTTGTGTTCTCTTTAAAGGCTCTTCCTAGGCTGTGATCATAAAGTCACTCTATTAGTTTGGGACAGCATGGCTGTGACATTCAGATGCCCTGTCCATCTGCGGCATGCCCATGAGTCCTGTGTGTGGTATGGGCATGAGCTCTAGGGTCATGCTTCAAGAAGGATCACCACCTGTCCCATCGTCTTCACTGACAATACTGTCTCATTCCATCCCACCCCATGGTGACACCTATGCACTGTCCACACCCACAGGCCTGCCCTGGACTTCTCTCTTCCTGTTAACTGACTGCCCCCTTGTGCCCAGGCCACACTCTCTTAATGCCATAGCTTCATAACAAGTCTGGACACCCTGGAGAGTCTTCCCTCCTGTCTTCTGGGAGAGCATGGTAGCTGTTCTTGCCTGTGTATTTCAGGGTCTCTTTTAGTTTTGGCTTGTCGATTGGCTGCTGAGATTGTGACAGGCACTAGTTTGAATGTGTTGGAGGAGAATTTACACCTTTGTATTATTGAGGCTTTAGTGTAAGTAATGGTTTTATAATTTTTAGAATTTTATAAAATTATAACAAAATTTTTTGTGGAGAGACATTGCATACTTACTGTGTTTTAACCTAATTGCAAATAGTATAAGTAAAATTTTTATATAATTTTCTAGTATATAAAAATCAAGTGGTATTTGTATATCGGTATATCTGACTGCCTTGCTAAAGTCAGTTAAAAAGATTCATAAGGAACACAGTCATGTCATTTGCAAATAAGGACACGTTTATTTCCAGTTATTTGATCTCTCCTACTCCTTATTGTACTGGTGAAGGCATTTGGTAAAATGTTGCTTCTGCTCTCAGAGGAAAAGCTTCAATATGTGACGAGTAATGATGTCCTGTATGGTTTGTAAAAATGCTCTTCATCCCATTGAGGATGGTTTCATGCTTGTTTAAAAATGATTTTTTTAAATCACTTTAAAAAAATGAATGGTTAATATTCTTCCATCTGTTGAGATGATGATTTTACTTTTCATCTTGCTCTGTTAGTATGGTAAGTTATGCTGGTTTTCTATAATTCTTTGTATTCCTGAGGTGAAACTGACTTGGTCAAAATGCTTTATTCTATTGCTACATAGCTGGATTCATTTGAATAATGTTTATATATTACAGTTGTTAATACCTTGAATTGACCTTTTCAAGTAAGCAAAACCTATGTTTGGTGTTGGATTTTTTTTCTCATTGATTTATCAGGTCCCACAGTTCATTTATGTCACAGTTTAGTGCCTTGTTTAATATTATGCACAGTCACTGGAGGACATAGCTGCTAAGATGCAATTGGTTGTGCCACAGCAATGTGAAGGATTTGACTCCTTCTTGGATACAGGATATAGGGTGAAGTTGGGAGTGGAATCGGGTTCACTCTCTGTACCCATTGTCACTGCTTCCTGCTGTCTCTTTCCACCCCCCCCAGACACCTCCAGTCCCTGCATTTCTTCTCTGTCTGTCCCCTGTTTTCCTCACTGCAGCTTTCTGTTATTGAGAACTCACCAGGCTTGGGTGCTGGGTGAGTTCCACTACCAGGAAGGGCAGTGGGTCCTGGACCGCTGGGTGTGGTGTGAGGCCAGATGCCTGACCTTAGTGCTGGCGGCTCTCCCAAGTAGCAATGGAGAGGACGATTTACCACATTTCGTGAGCTGCTGTAAAAATTGAATGAATATGTGCCGTTCTTACAGGTGATGTCATGGGGGGAGTAATACCATGAGAATGATTCACAGTGCAGTGTTAATTGAAAAAGCATGGTGAAGAAGTGCGATTGCATTTCTTGAAAATTAAACACATATTCACATGTGCATGTGTATACAAATGTACAGATATACACAGAATATGACTTTTTCCTGCACCTTTTCTTATAGTCTAAATTTTCTAAAATAAAAATTCTATTTTATTTTTTGTTTTAAGAAGAATAACTCTATCAGTTGTTTTTAAGAGAGAACAATGATGTTCCTTACAACATTGTGCAGAATAGTCACCATAGTTTCTACTAGGTAATTGTATGTTACGGGGTATTAGGATTGCTACATTAAAATGTTAACTATTAGTTTCTTAAATTTTACATTGCTCAGTATTTTTTATTTTATTTTAGGCAAACTTTGGAGTCGGAGTTTAAAACTAGCTTATACTCTACTTAATAAACTGACTAGTAAGAATGAACCACTACTTAAGCCTGGAGACAGAGTAAGTAACTAGAATGTAACTTTATTAGAGTGAGCAAAAGAGAGACTTATAAAACCTGTATCATTGAAATCCATGTTCTATCAGCTGGCTAGAAACACAGCATTAACACAGAGATTTAAAGTCAGCAGTGAGAAAAATATCAGCATGGAAAAATCTGTGTTAACATGAAAAGCTGGGTCTTCTTACCCTCCCTTGTTATCCATCCTCTGATTTTCCAGTTTCTTTTCTATTTGACTTCATGTGTGTTGATGTTAACGAATGTTAAGCTTCAAAAGCCTAGAAGTTATGCATTAACACTGTTCTTCCTTTGATATTGTGTGTGCTTTGTGTTTATCTCTTTCCCTACTCCAGGTGGTCAGGCAACCTCTTCTTGCCTCTATGCCAAAGTAGAAAGCAAGTAAAGGGAACTAGAAGTTTATCCTCCTTTCCTTCAGTGCCTTATGGTGTAGGCAGTAGCCACACAAGGCTATTTAAAACTAGCCAAAGTAAAAATTTAGTCCCTCAGTTGCATAAGCCACATACCAAGGGCCCAACGGCAATGTGTAGCTAATAGCTACTGTATTCGATGGCTGAGAGGTGGAGCATTTCCATCCTCATAGAAGTCTGTGCTGCATGGAACTGTTCCAAGTAGGTTGGATAGACTTGAAGAGTCTACTCACTAGTGAGGTCCCTGGTGACAGGTATCTCAACAGTGAAGTGGGAAGGTTGACAGGCTATCAGAGTTCTGAGAAATTCAGTGCCTCACGGTTTCATGTGCCCTGTAGTTAAGGACACTCCAGAAGGAAGCTTCAGTGTGAAAGAAAACAACCAAAAGGCAAAGAAAAGGGAAGAGAGTGTGAATGAGAGAGAAAAGAGGGAAGAGATGGAGGGAGGGAGCTAGGCACAGAACAAAAGGTTTCTAAGTTAGTAGTATCCTTGGAGATCTGAGATGAAGATGTTTCATGAATCAAGATAAGGATGTCAGTAGGGAAGACCAAGAGACGAAAAGTAAGCCATGTGTGGTGGTGCACAACTGAGGTGGAAGGATTCAGAGTTCAAGGCCAGCCTAGGCTACAGTTTGAGGCCCTGTCTCAAAAAGCAAAACAGAAAGAGAGAAGGAGGGCAGTAGGAAGGGGAGGAACAATAGACACAGATTGCAGGCTTGATCCTCTTGAAGATGACCTCACACCTAACTGACAATAGCAGTTTAGAAAGAGAACAGAGGGCAGTGCTGTGAATGGCTACAGCAGCATAGATGAGACTACCACAGCACTGTGACTCCAGGCTTTTGGGGGAGTAGGGCTTACTCACTGGACAGTAACCATGATGGCCTTGGGGTTTCTCAGTTGTGAAACTGGAGTAGAGCACAGTCACCTTTAGCAATCCAGGGGCTTTTAGCCTGCAGTTGCATTTACAGACATTCAGCAAATGTAAGCGTTAGGGTTTTAGACATGCAGAGTCAAAAACATTGGCTTACAGGCCAAATTCCTAGAGCCTGTGCTTCAGTCAAATGACTGAGTAGGGTCCAAACAGGAGAGCTACAGGGGCCCCAAGATGGCCTTGAAACAACCAGGTGAAAGCCCTAATAGGACCAGGCATACTAACACCCTGGAGTGTTGTAGAATAGACAGCAGCAAGAAAAACTTAGGATTTCACTCAATCAGTTATTTGGAATACAGCATTGATAGGTGTTTGACACATTTGATGCAGTGTTTTAGAACGACTTAACCAGTACATCTAGAGAAAGCAGAGCAAGTAAAGGTAGAGGCTGTTACCATCAGGAAGAAAGGAGAAAATGCAAACACCATGAGAACCGCACTTGATTTGGCATGCTTACAGATAAGATTTCACAGCATGCTTTACAATGAGCCTTGCTTCAGCATTAATCTAAGTCACTATCTTGAAAAGCACTCTTGTAAGGACAAAGATGTCCAGATACCTTCTTCACTTGCAAGAGAGTCCATATAGTTAGATTACTGATGAGAAATCAGAGTATCACTGTGGCTGAGTTAATTTTCACAGATTGGTGGCAAAGTCAAGCTCCCATGATAATATACCTTTTACAATTAATAAATTTTAAAAATGAATAAATACCTCTGTTCATAACTAAAATCCCTAAGAATGTCTTTTTCCATACTAAACATCTAGTGTCAAGGTTACAGGTTACATTTCTGAGGCAACCACTATTAAAACCAACTTTTGAAGGAGATCTTTTCCTTTGTAACAAACTTGTTGGAAACTCAGTTTGTAGACCTCACAAGCAATGATCCTCCCAATCTCCACCTCTGGAGTAGTTAGGATTATTGGTGTGAGCCACCATGCCTGGCTATAAACAACTTTTAATTTGGCCAGATGTTGTTTTAAAAAATGGCAATTGGTTTTCCCTTTTCTTTCTTTCTTTCTTTCTTTTTTTTTTTTTGTTGGTACTGAGGTTTGAACTCAGGACCTCATGCTTACTAATCAGATGTTCTACCACTTGAGCCATTCTACCAGCCCCCTGAAAATGGCAATTGGGATGGTGGAGATGGGAAAGGGGGAGGGATTTCCACAGGAAATAAATACTCAGCTAGAATGGAAGGAAATAAAATAGGTGCGTAAATATTTTTAAGATAAAATATGGCAATATGGACATAGTATCTACAGATATGAGAGTATGCACTAGAAGAGGGGTGTAAAACACTGGGGTAAGTTGAAGATGGGGTGTAGGGTATTGTTTTTCATTAGTACTTTTGTCATTTTAAACTGTGTTTTAAATTTTTTTATACAAATTAAAATGTACAATAAAATAGAACTGATCATTTAATGTGGTGGCAGCAAGGTCCTTAGGCAGGAACAGGGAGCCCCTCGGATCTGGGGCTGGGGTATCTTCGTGGAAGTCTTCCCTGTTCACCAATTCCTGCATATCCAGTTGTCAGGGAAGATCTGTTCCATTAAAACTTTGGTGTTGGGGTTGTTTCATTTGGAAGCTATTATTTTAGATATAATTTTATTCCTTGGTCACTTGGCTAATTGACAGTGGGTTCTGGTCAGCGTGGATGGGAGCTAGAACTTTAAAATGAACCTCCACCACAAATGAATAAGGAAATATAATGAGCAAGAATGAATTCCAAGATTAGATTTTTCAAACCGAATTTAGAAAATCTAAAATATCTCTGTTTCTAGTCAACAGAGATTATAAAATCTGAAAAGACTGCTGTCACTCCCAAGTTTTTCTTTGTATTGTTGTAGGTGGCGCTTGTGTTTCCAAATAGTGACCCTGTGATGTTCATGGTTGCCTTTTATGGGTGTCTTCTGGCGGAGCTGGTTCCTGTCCCTGTAGAAGTGCCATTAACAAGAAAGGTAGCAAACCTGGGCCAGCCCCAGCTTGGTGCCCTGAGATTCTCTTCTGTACAGGATGTGTGATGCTGTGGTGTCTTGCTTCCCCTTCACGTGGGCTGTGGGCTGGCAGCAAGAGCTGCTTGGAGGGAGATAGCTGCAGGTAGTCAGTCAGGACTTCAGGGAACACTTAGGTGCAGCTTGCTACGGATCTTCCTTGCCTATCCAGCAGGTGAGGGGCAAAGGCCCTGCTGCACTCTGGGGAGCTGGAGCTGTCCTGTCACTTATCTGAGTTTTCTAAAAGAAGCCGGCATTTTTTCCTCCAGTGAACAAAATTTGTGATTTGCTATAGTTTTGTTAAACTTTTACTCAAAACCATATGATTATTGACACTAATTTTAGTTTTGAACAAACAGGATGGAAACTTTTGCATTTCTGTTCACTTACATGACAAAGGCAGTTTTTGTCACTGATAAATTATTAATATAGGGGATGTGCTTATTCTAGATAGCTGTAACTAGTTACAAATATCAGTAATTTGGTTATTGAAAAATGCCATTTTAGGAATAGAGTAGGTTTGTATTTTAGAAAAATGAGAGTTCTGACATTCCTATTTAGACAGTTGTTAACGTAAGCATTGTGAATAACAAATGTTCAAGCATCCCAAAAGTAAAATTTGCAAATAAGACCACTATATCTCAAGGAATAATATGCGACAACCATGCATTTAGACACAGCAGTTCTTAGAGAAGAAACTAGAGACTTACTGAATTTATGAAGAAAATGATAAAACTCTGCCAAGGGACGCGCACAGAAAGCCCAAGGGAAGGGAAGTGTTTCTGTGTGGGAGGGATCAGTGCCATCCAGTCAGACTCTCCAGTTATTCATAAGCTTCGAATATGGTTCTGCAAATTTCAGTGCTGTTGTTTCTAGGGTTTATTAAAATGCTTTTAAAGTCATTTGTAAGAATAAACTTTGAGAAATTGGCCCACTATCCAGAACTTTGTATCTCACTGTAAAAGAAGTAAAAAATATTTTTTATATTTAAAAACAATTATCTTAATTTCATGGGCTATTTCCATGAAAATATAATAGCATGTCACTTACTAATAGGACCGAATGTTCAGAGCTTTGTTCTCTATCCCAGCCTGGAACCCTAGAGGTGAGGGCTAGGGCTCCCACCAGCACCCACTTCTACCATTGATCTGTCTTCTGCAGGATGCAGGCAGCCAGCAGGTCGGGTTTCTGCTGGGCAGCTGTGGAGTCACCCTGGCCCTGACCACGGATGCTTGTCAGAAGGGCCTGCCCAAGGCACAGACAGGAGAGGTGGCAACTTTCAAAGGTGAGACTTCCAGGGTCAAGAAGAACCTGTGTTCTTGCTGAAGCCTTCTTTCAACTGTGTCTCTAGTCATGCCATTCCAGAAACTATGTATTACAGGGACTAGAATGTCTTTATCAAAAGTGATTCCTTGTTCAAGGCCTTGGTAAATCTTTATTTTTGTTTGGCTTGATGTCTCCACGTGAGCTGCCCAGTGTGGTAGCCGCTGGCCATGTGTACCTATTTAAATTAAGTAAAATGGAATGAGACTAAGACTTGAGTCCCAATCAGCCCCCCAGGGTCTGGTGGCTGTGTGTTGGATGCAGTCCCCAAGTGATGGGAGTAGAGCCCTCTGGCCACTGGTGGCACCGGTCCCCTATTTGCTATCACAGGTTGGCCCCCCCTTGTCTGGCTGGTGATTGATGGGAAGCATCTGACCAAGCCCCCTAAGGACTGGCACCCTCTGGCCCAGGACACAGGTGCTGGGACTGCTTACATCGAGGTAAGGACCCACACTTGACATACAGGAGCAGCCCCCATGGCTTGGGTCTTGGTTTTCATAAGAGATAGCTACTTCTTTTGGTTTTTTAAATTTTCAGGCCTAGAGCTCTCCTTATGATTTATCCATGACCCAAAAATATAAAACATCAGATAGAACCTTATTCAGATCCTTTCAGGTTTTGCTCTGACCTAATTCTCTCTAACTGGCCCCCTGGGATGCAAACAGTTCCAATGGAGCTTGAGCAGCTGCCCACCTGGGTCCCTCAAGGGCATGGTGTGAGGTGCTCTGGAATGGTCTGTGAAGCAGACACAACCATAGCTCCTGCTTTTTAAGGTGGCATGACTTTGGAGATACCACATAATTGGGTTTTTTTTCCTTGAAATTTACAGTATAAAACCAGCAAAGAAGGCAGCACAGTGGGGGTCACAGTGTCCCATGCATCCCTGCTTGCACAGTGCCAGGCTCTGACGCAGGCGTGTGGATACACAGAAGGTAAGGGCTCTTGAGTACAGGGCAGTGGTTCTTCCTGCTAGCACAGATGCCGGACATACCTGATCTCACCCTGGAAATGGTTGCTGCATATGGCCGTCCACTCCTGGGTGGTGCCTCTGCCCTTAGTGCAGCTGCACCAGGTAGAGGGGTGCAGCTGTCTCTCTCCTGGTGTGCTTCTGGGTTTCTGGACTTGTGCTGGACTGGCGGGTAGAAGGGGTCGCTCCGTAGAGCCTGAGCCTCCCCGCTCAGGGCAATTTCAATAAAGTCACATTATGGACTGTGAAAATGTAGCACCGATTCATTCATGAACAGTGGGCAGGTTCAATGTGTGATACACTGAAGGGCAGTGCGTTTCACACTATCAACAGTGGAAAACCCTCTCCTAGGGACAGCTTTTCAGTGACATTTTCTCTAAATATTGCAGTGGCTGGAGCTGTTGTACATGTAGATACTTAAGTGCAATGAGTCTTTATGGTCAAAGATGGTCTCTTGGTAAAAATGGAAGCAGCTTCCAATTTATCTTAATAAAAGTTAATTTTAAAATTGTTATTTTGTATCGATGATAATTGTATGTATTTGTGAGGTATAGTGTAAGAAATACTGTTTTAAAACTGTGAAAATGGACTTATAGTAGTTTTCTTACATTGTAATACTAAAATTGCACAAAAGTAGAAAGTAAAATTGGCCGGGTGCTGACAACTTACGCCTGTAATCCTGACTACTTGGGAGGTTGAATTGGGAGGATCGTGGTTTGAGGCTAGCCCAGGCAAATAGTTCTCGAGACCCTATCTCCAAAATAACCAGAGCAAAATGGACTGGAGGTGTGGCTCAAGTGGTAGAGCACCTGCTTTGCAAGTGTGAAGCCCTGAGTTCAATCCTCAGTTCCACAAAAAAAAAAAAGTAAAATTAAATGATATGGTTAAATATCTAAAATACGGATGTTTAAACGCAGGTAGTGCATGGACATATCTAAAGACTTCTGTGGAGATTTGGAAAAGAATTTCAATTATCTTCAGAGCATTAATAATTTTTTTTAAAGTGAGATCTATTAAATCAAGGCCCAAGGTTCTTCTTCAGATCCAGTTCTAATCTAACACTTGCCACCTTTAGCTGAGAGTGTGGGGAGATGGCAGCATTGTTATTCACAGTGCAGCAGCATCCTCCCCACAACCAAACTCCTTCTGTTCACCTTGGGTCTGTCTATGGTACACCTGCGGTGGCTGTGGCTTTAGGAGAGGAGCCAGGTCAGCCTGCAGCCCTGGGCTTCATCCTCTGCCTTGTTGGAGGAGGCAGCCAGAGGACATGGTTGGGGTTCTGAGCAGAGGACAGTGTGACTCCCCTAAAGGGCACCAACTGCATTCTCTGGACCAGATGAGGAGTGGTGGAGGAGGAATGGCTTTCTGTACAGCAACAGGAACCACGACTCTGTAGAAGGAGGATGCAGGACCACACCCAGCAAGTATGAGAATCAGCGGTTTGGGCACGAAGCTAAGAAGCAAGAGTGTTCACGACAGTTCCTTATCCTGCCTCTTCATCCTGAAGAGTGTCCACTCAAAACATGGTGACAATGTGTGGTGACACATCATGCAGTTTCTGCAGTGTGTGGCACTCCTGTGTCTTCATATTCATAATCAGCATAGTTCTCTTTTCCAATCCACACTTGTATATTTACAATAATTTGAATGGGCAGCCAGGATTAGTGATAAATTGGTGCATGGTATTTGGAAGTGCTCTGACATGCTGGTGATAAACTCATTCTCAGAATTTCTCTAGAAAACAAATGCATTGGACTTGTGAGGAACTCCTCATTATTTTCACCTTTTTTTGTCTGCTTGCAGCTGAAACATTAACAAATGTGCTGGACTTCAAAAGGGATGCTGGTCTGTGGCATGGAGTGCTAACTGTGAGTTTGTTTGCTGATGACTGACCAAGACGAACCAAGCCTGGCATTAGGGTGCACTGGTTTTGGTGTGCTTTCTCTGGCGTGGCAAAGTCTCCTCGCCTGAGCTGGTCCATATCTCTCCACAGAGCGTCATGAACAGGATGCACGTGGTCAGCATCCCCTATGCACTGATGAAAGTCAACCCACTCTCCTGGATTCAGAAAGTGTGCTCCTATAAAGGTAGCAAAAGAGAGCCATAACTTGTATCACACTTACTTAAGGAAATCTTTCTGAGCTGATCTTTGGTGATTAATGAAAAAAAAAAATAAAGGCAACATGTAGAACTGTCGGTGTGAGCTGAAGAGCCCAAAACACTTGTTGGGGTCCTGCCAATGGCTGTCTCTGCATGCTGTCCTGGGGCTGACTAAGCCAGAATGTTCCTGGCCTGGGCAGCCATTTGCAAACCAGTGACTGAGCTCTTTTCTGTAGGACCAAGGACGCCTAGTTTTGTTCTTTTGAGATTTTCCTTATAATCACATCAGTATTAATCCTAATCTTAGTATTTGAGATGCTTTTAAACAGTGCCTATGACAGATGGAGTGGGATGGATGAGAGGGGAGGCCCCTGTGGGGTCTAGACCTTGCTCCCCTCACCTTCCAGTGGTTGAGGTACCTCCTGGGACTGAGCAGGAGGCCCTGGCTCAAGGCAATTGTTCAGCTCAAACATCTCTCATGTCTGCCCAAGGGAGCCCCAGGCACTGACTATCCCTGAGCCACTGTGTTGCGTGCACTGTGGGCAGGTCTCCAGAACAGCACCAGGCAGCAGCTGTGTCTCTGCATTCTGTTTTATGGAGCAAAATGAAGCCTGGTGAGAGGAACTAGATTCACTGGGCCCTGCATACTGGTCAGCACATGGCCAGATTGAGGGCCCAGTCATCCATTCAGATCCCAGGTTCCCACACCTTACTGACCTGGAGGCTGCCAGCACCTGCAGGTCAGGTGAATGCAGACAATGGAGCATTGTTAAACCAGGGCCACCACCTTGGGGAGTGACAGCATGAGGCAAAATGGGCAAATATGCAAAAAGCATGATGGAGGTTCTGATTAAAAAAAGTGGGGGGTGAGGGAGGATGAAAATGGACCTAAGTATTGCAACTAAATCATCTCAAGTTTGATTTTTAAGGAGAAAGGTTTGGGATAGGGGTTTGGCAGCATATGAGAGCGGCAAACAAAGCATGCATGATAGGTCCTCTGTCCTCTGTGCCTGCACCTCTGCATGGAATGATGTGCATGTTTGTGTAGGAGTGTGAGGGCACCTGCCATTGTTGTTACACAGGGGTATCTGTATTGCCCTCTCTCTGCAGCCCAGACTGCTCTGGTGAAGTCCCGCGACATGCACTGGTCTCTGCTGGCACAGCGAGGTCAGAGGGATGTCAGCCTCAGCTCGCTACGCATGCTGATTGTAGCTGATGGCGCGAACCCATGTAAGTAGGCCTGAGTTACCCAGGGTGGGGCCGTAGTGTGTCCTCCGTTGACCTTGAGTTGCCAGATGGACAGGACAGCCATAGAATCTGTTGAACAAAATTAAGGCATTTCACTGCCAATATAAATAAACATCGATGTCCTATAACATTCCATGATATAAAACCTCTTGTTGGTGTCTCATTGGTGGATCTCACACATTTATTAAGGCACTAAATTTAAAAATAGTTTTAATGCAGTTGACAAAACCCATCTTAATGAGAACCATTTTTCTTAAGACATCACCAGATTGTGCTAGATAATTGGGGTCCTTGTTTCACTGCAGACCTCCTTTTGAGCCTCCTGCCCTTTGGCCTGGTGCCCCCACCTCTCTGGCTCCCGGCCCCAACTTCCCCCATTAGGACCCAGCCATTCTTCCTCCAGAGATGCATGGCCAACCAGAGTTCTTGGAGGAGCCCCTCGTGGCTGCTGCCTGAGCACCCAGGAACCTCCTCAGTGTAGAGGTCTGATTAGTTGCTTGTACTCATGCTGTGCTAGCTTCCTGAGCCCAGTAATCTCCCCTATGGGAGCCTCAGGTGACACTTGTTGAGCAGTGGTTCCTCATGCAACATCAGTTTACCCCCATGTTCTTGTGTACCCCATCTCTCAGGAGAGCAGGCAGGGTACACAGTACCATCAAAAGCTCCTGTTTCCTTGGTCCACACCTGAGCTAAAAGGACCTGCCTCTGTCCTGTGGCATGTCTCCATCCCATGCCCTTGGCCACCTTTACTCTTACCTGAGCCCACAAACCACCCTGGCTCCCTGCTCATCCCCTTCACCACAGCCCATGTGATCAGTGAGAACCACTCCTCTCCAGTACCTTCTCTTCTGGGATAAACTCTAATTCTGACAGCCCTGCCCTGACACCTGCTCCACTGTGTTCCTGGAGGCACCACATGGTTCTCTTGACATTGACCTCAGCCTGCAACTTAACTGCTGGTCCCTCATGATACACCATCCAACCTTCATAGCACTGAATAATCTGGTCATCTTCCTTCCCTAGAAAATACCCCATCCCAGAGAACATGGATTCTGAGGGCCCCTGTGAATGGTTCCTTCCTTTCCAGGAGAGATTTACAATGAATCCCTGGGATCCCAGTAGTTGTAGGGCCATGCTGACTGGAACCCTTAGCTATGCAGCCAAGTTCCCCATCTCTAATGCCTGCTAACTAAAGTCTGCCACCTCTGACTGTGATGGGAGCCTCCCCAGAGGAGGGGATGGCCAGGGAGGGGCAGGGAGGCCTGGGGGAAGGTGACATACAGCACAGCTCTTGAGGCCACAGCCAGGAGTGGGTGACCAGGCCTGGACTTGTTAGAATGCAGGTTTGGACCACAGAAGTTCCTCAGTTACTTGACAGACTGCGCAGGCCCAGAACACAAAGTGCAAGAGGGCTGTTCCCACTGCCTGGTTCAAGAGAAAGAAGGGGAGGGCAGGGCTCAATAGCAAACACAGACTAAAGAAAGGCCTCCTGTGGGAAATTTCCAGCCTCTTACTTGCTGGTGATTTGGAAGTGTGTGGCATGTGCCTCTCCCTGTTCTGTAAGGCATTGCCTCCCTGAGTTGTACCAATGACCTTCCACTGGGATGGGGCTTACTGTCAGGTGGAACCAGGTCAGCCCCTGCAACTGTCAGTCCCACGGATATACCAGAGACCCTGTGCTCCGCCCACTGTCCCTCTGGTTGCCTCTCATGCTCCACTTGTGGTGCTTCACATAGGGTCGATATCCTCCTGTGATGCCTTCCTTAACGTCTTCCAGTCCAGAGGTCTGAGACCAGAGGTCATCTGTCCTTGCGCCAGCTCCCCTGAGGCTCTAACAGTCGCCATCCGCAGGTAACTAAATACCTTCTGCATCTTGTGAGCACTTAGTCTGTCCAGTCTGCGTATAGCTGAGTTACCTGTGGCACCAAATTTATGATCTGTTTCCAAGTATTAGGAACCCTGAAGCAGGATGTTCTATGTCAGCACCTGGCCATGGCAGCGGTGCAGTCTGAAGACTCCCGACCCCTCACCTGTCTAGATTTGTGTTGGGATTTGGTAGCAGTGCCCTGGGCCAGATTCTGGGTTCTTTCAAGGCATTAGCAGGTTGTTTTACTCAGTGCTTCTTCCCAAATCAAGGTCTTGCCATCCCATCCTTAGCACAGTAAAAAAGCTTACAACAGAGAAACTAACTGTTCCTGATTAGAGGGTGGGCCCACTGGCCAAGGGGGACAATCTCCTTGCTCAGCCTGAGCCTTCCCTGCCCACAAAGGCCCAAGTTGCTCAAGTGACTGTTTTCCTTTGTATTGCCTGTTGCAGTTTGGAGGATGGTACGTGTGTATTTCATTCACACGCACAGGTAATATATGCTTACAAATATGGAATATTAAGTAACTTCATCCTTGGCAACTGTCACTCCTTATTGCCTTGTTCTTGTTCTTTGTGACTTATCTGCTCGTTGGTGTCTTTTTTTTTTTTTTAATGGGACTGGAATTTGAATGCAGGGCTTTGCTCTTGCAAAGCAGGTGCTCTGCCACTTGAGCTACACCTTCAGTCCATTTTGCTCTGGTTATTTTGGAAATGGGGACTCTCAGACTATTTGGCTAGGCTGGCCTTGAACTTTGATTCTTCCAATCTCAGCCTCCCAAGTAGCTAGGATTGCAGGTATTACAGGACACCGAGCGGTAGTGTCATTTTTTTCTGCTGTCCTTTGTTTCTTACTGGCTCCGAAGAACAAAAGTCATTATCCAAGCTCTCTATGGGCCGGGGCATGGAAGGCCGATAGTGTGCATGGAGATGGTGTCTGCCTGCACACAGCATCAGGATCCTGCCCCTGGTCCCTCAGAGTAGACTGGCACAGGCTTCATCACAGCACATTCTGCTCACCTGGGGCTCCAGGCGAGCATCCCAAGATAACCAACTGAAAGCTGAATCACCTTTGATAACCTCCCTTGGAAATCACAGTGTCACTTCTGCCATTACATGCCCAACTTCCAGTGGGAGGGGTGTCAAGGGCATATTGTCGAGGGGCAGTGGTTTGCAGACATTGATCTGAGTGCTTTAGATCACAGAGTTCTCACAGGTCTGTGATACAGAGCAGGTGATTCAGCGCGGAACTGTACTGCAGGCAAGGCAGGCCCTCAGCCATCTCCCCTGAAGTGCCTTCATCATTGGCCTTTTGCTGCTCTTGCCTAGGCCACCAGATCTGGGAGGACCTGCTCCAAGAAAAGCTGTGCTGTCAATGAATGGCCTGAGCTATGGTGTGATCAGAGTTGACACCGAGGAGAAACTGTCAGTCCTAACTGTTCAGGATGTTGGCCAGGTGATGCCTGGAGGTAAGAAGCAGTAGAGCACGTCTGCCTCCTGTACTGACTGACACAACAAAATGGCACAAATGCTCCAAGCTTTGTGGTCACACTCTACAAGCAGGCCTGCAAGCCAAATATTTCTCAAAAGCATTTTCCAATTTGTATTTTTTGTATTCAGTTTGAAGATGAGCTGAAACCCACAAGTGCGTGTGTGGTCTCTAAAGCCAACATGCAGTTCTCTGGTGTTGGGGTGATGGAGGTGATGGCTTGCTTGCTGTACATCAGGCTTAGTCCTCCTGCCTCACATTTAATCCCTGACAACCTAAATGAAGCACTTCTGAGGTCTTATTCCTAGAAACAGAGTGCTATTTCTTACTCAGTCACCCCAACCCCAGTGCCGTCCAGCCTGTCCCAGAGGTATGGTCCTGTGTCCTGCCTTAGGCTGACATCTGCTTCATAGGCAGCCTCACTGACAGGCCCAGAGCTGCTTTTGTGCTGTGTAGGGGGCTCCAGAGGGAGAGGCCATGGGCAGTGCTGGACAACCCAGCCAGCCCTGACCAGCTGTGTGTGGGCAGAGGTAGAACTACTTGGAATGAAGCTAGAGGGTTAAACCGTGGCTTCTATTTCCATTTTTAGACATATTATATTACTTTCTGCCTATAATTTTATCCCCAAAAGGAATCATAGTCTTGTAGAATGCTTGAATGTGTGAATAAAACATTTTTAGAAATTGTAGAGAGCTGGATGTGGTGGTGCATGCCTGTGATTCCAGCACTCAGGAGGCTGAGGCAGGATTGACACAGCAAGACCTTGTCTCAACAAAACAAAATACCAGAGTGTTTTTTACTTGCTATGACAAAGTATAAGTAACTTATAAATATTGATGAAAATTATGATAAAAATTATTTTGAATAATATGAATGGTGTTCATAGTTGTGCTCACCTTCATTATTAGTGTAACATGGATACGAAAGACATACATGCACATGCCTCCACGTGTTCTCTGTTTTCTGGGTCCCTCCACAGTCCCTGGCTATGTCTCAGTTGGCTGGACTTAACTGCTATGCTCTGTCATAATGATACCTTGTGTCAGCAATTCTATAGCTTTCTGCCCTGTGGCGTTAGTATTTACAACACTATGAATTACATTTGTGGCAATTTGTGCCTATGTGACTTTAAATCCATCCTGTGCGCACCTGACAGTGTTGCTGTGGAGTTGATGCTGCCAGAAGGGTAGAACAAATAGGCAACCCTCTACTTGTCTCTGCCTGTGGGAGGGAGCATATTCTGTTGGCCAGGTTTCATTATGTGAAAGATGTGGTATGCTTTTTAATCACCTCACATTGCTCTATTTATTTATTTCCTTCCTTCCTTCCTTACTTATTTACTTATTTATGGTGCTGGAGATGGAACCCAGGGCCTCATGCATGCTAGGCAAGTGCTCTACCACTGAGCCACAACACCAGCCCTCACATTGCTTGTAAATAATGTTATATATCATATAAAGACTTAATGACTTGTGGAGCATGTATAACCCATACCATAAATCTCCTTACAAGAGCTTTCTACATGTGTAGTGTCTTGTTTCCATAACTTCAAATACAGCAACAAGTAAATCTTTGTGAATGATCCAGTTAATAAATTCTTGGTGATTTGAATTTGTGTTCTCTGTTTAGCTAGTGCCTGTGTAGTGAAGGTAGAAGGCCCCCCTTATCTTTGTAAAACCGATGAAGTTGGAGAGATCTGTGTTGACTCTATTGCGACTGGGACAGCATACTATGGATTGCTTGGAATCACAAAGAATGTGTTTGAGGTTTGTTCCTTTTCCTGATCTGTGTGTTGAAATGTAATTCCATGAACATGGAAGGGTCTCGGGGGTTCACAGACAGAGGACCCTCCATGCAGAGGGAGGGAGAATAGGAAAACCATATCCTAGAGCTGAGCTTACATGCCCTGAGGGCCTGCACAGCTTTGGTCAACACAAAGGCACTGGCATGAGGGACACTGAGTCCTGCCCAGGTGCTGTATCTACTCAGTGGAGCAGTCAAACTAGGATAATAGGCCATGGTGGCTCAGACTGTGAGAGCCTCTTCACTCTAGACTACAGGTGGTGTGGGTGGGGCTGAGCTTTCCTGCCTGCCCATTGGGCCTTTCTGACATCTTTCCCCTTGCTCTGGCAGACTGTCCCAGTCACTGAGGGAGGAGTCCCTGTCTCTGAGAGGCCTTTCACCAGGACAGGCCTGCTGGGCTTCATCGGGCCTGTGAGTATGTCCTCATGTACCAACATGGCAGCTGGGGATATTGGGCAGGGATAAGGAACCCCTCATCTCAGACTGGGATATCCTAGGTGGGCTCTTATTTTTTTTTTTATGATACTGGGATTTGAACTCAGCACTTGCTATGCAGATGCTCTACCACTTGAGCCATATCCCCACTCCCCAGGCGGGTTCTTATACTTGCTGCTGATGATTTCCTGTGTGGCCTCGATCAGTCATGCTGACCACCCCTGCCATTGCCCAGCTATGTTCAGGGCCATCCTCACCTCTGTGAGATCAGCCCACAGACCTGCCTGCACCTGGGCCCTGAGCAGGGGTCGGTGGGGGATTAGAATGGTTTTTTTTAATACCAACAGAATAAGCTGGGAGGCATATGTGTATTCAGTGGTACCAATGGATACCATTTTGGATGTCTAAGATATTTACAAATAGATACTTTTGTACTATCTTAGCCTGCTGGTTCTCAGCAGATCCTTCCCCAGATTTGGTTGTTGCAGCTTATGGGAGGAGAGTGCTCCTGGCTCTAGTGGGTGTTTGGAGGCCAGGGCACTGCTCAGTGTCCTCAGTGCACAGGTGACTGGTTCCTTCAGTAGCATGATTAGTCCACAGGCCATGCTGCCATGACTGGAATCCTGCCTTCATCCATAGCTTTATGCCCTCTGAGCCCTTCTCATGCTGACATCTGCCTCCCCGTGCCTCCTGTCACACAGTCCTCCCCACTTGACTTGATGCTGAAGGGTGCATGTGGCTTGTTTGACCCCCTGTCTGTGAGGTATTGAATTCTATGCAGCCAGCTCCTTCTTGTGGGATCTGATCACAGCCTTCCCTCAGGATAACCTTGTCTTCATTGTGGGCAAGCTGGATGGACTGATGGTTGTGGGAGTTCGCAGACACAACGCAGACGATGTTGTGGCCACCGCTCTGGCTGTGGAGCCCATGAAGTTTGTCTACAGAGGCAGGTGATGCGCTGCGAGTCCCCATGCATGGGTTTCAGATCCTTCCTGTACTTAAAATTTTGGAAGTCTGGGCAGGAGCAGTAAATCTGAATTTACAAAACCTAAAACTGTTTGTACTTTAGAAGAACCTAACAAAAATGTTTGTAGCAGTGGTAGCAGAGTTATGTCCTCACTTGTTCAGAGTTCATTCAGTTCCTTAAGAGAACAAGGTCCAAGTGTGTAATTGGGCTAGGGAGCAAGGAGATAGTCAGTGGCAGGGAAAAGCTGAGTAGACAGCAGGGGTTCCACTTCTTCATAGTCACAGAAATGCAGATTAAAGCACATCAGTGCTGTTTTCTGTATGAAACCTCCAAAAGCAAATTCTTGTCCAATAAGTTTTAGGGAGAAACACTGCACCCTTCATTGCTCCTGGGATAAAAACCCACTCAGCGTCTCTACATTTGTTAAGAACCTTAGAGACTCTCATTCCTGTTGAACAAGTAACTAGACCTCTGGGCCTGTGGCACAATAAGAGGGTCCTGGAGGAGAGCTCATCCTGCTCTTTCACTCCTCAAAAGCTCTCTGTCCTGGAGGAAGCCCTTCTCCTAACTGGTGCCTTTTTAAATGTAATTCTTCTCAAGGAGTGCCTTTTGTTGTTCAAGCTAGGGTACCTGTGAGCCAGACCGGGGCCCTGCCTTTGAATATACCTTAAAGGAATCACTAAGGAATCCTGCCAGATGGGTAAAGGTGGCCATAGCCCAGAGCATGAACACCTTGCCAGTGACCTCCCCCACACAGCAGAAGCGGGGCATTGTTGATACAGGTGTCTATGGGGATGATGTCAAGGAAGCCCAACCTGCTTCCATGGTGAGACAGGAGACCGCCTGCTTGCATGGCCAACTGTGTCTAAGCAGGCCTGCTAGAGTGAGGCTAGCCTGAGTAACGCACTGGTGCATGGGCTGATTGCATCTTCAGACAATGAAGAGCTAAGGAATACTGAAACCTGGGAATGAAAACACAGCCAGTTGCATATGGGTGCTATTGGGAAGGGAGTAGTGAAGAATATTAGCAACATGAAATAAGACCAAGAATTTATAACAGAGTGACTGTTCTATCAGAACACAGCAGATAAGATAAATAAAATAAATACACCTGGAGAATGAATTGAGAATGTAGAAAATCAGATTAGGAAACAACTCCAGAAATAAAAGAAAGTTGAAAAGAATTATAAAAAGAGATGGGAGGGATGGGCATCCAGATGGCCTGGCAAGGCCTATCTGTGGCACAGGCCCCTGGCGCATCATGTCTGTCCATTCTTACAGCAAACGATGAGGAAGCCATGCAGAACTTGGCAGAACTCCCCATGGTGGAGCTGATATAAGATGATAACAATGCAGAGATGATTTTAAGTTTTAAATTAGGTTTTATTTCCACCTAAATTGTCACCTAGGCATATAAATTTTAGAAGTTTTGTCACAGAAAGATTCACCTTGAAAACACTTTTGGACAAGGCATTAAGAGAAATGAATTTATAAGAGCTGCAGAGGAATGATAGGAGGGAAAACTCAGCCTTGGAAACAGTCTGTTGGATAAAATAACATATGATGGTGTGTGCAGGGTGTGTGCATACACTTGCCAAAGGCAGAATGAGAGAATATATGTCATAATAACCTGGAGTTAGAATAGTAGATGTACTAGCCTGAGGGGTTTTGTGGGGAAACCAACTTCTTGTCTTCTAAGGGAAAAGAAGAAATATCAACTCAGTCCAAAAGAAGAAAAATGCAACCCAAAAAAAGAAAGGCTTGTGGAAATTCTTAAAGTAAGATAGTACAAACAAGCCCAGATATATCAATCACAATAAACGTGGATAGGTTAACTCATTAGTAAAGAGACTTAATGTGTTGGTCTGAAAAATACAATAGAACTATTAGACAAAAACCTGTGCACAGAGAAATGTATTTCATATGTTAACATTAGAATTAAGGGATTTTTCTTTTTAAAAATGTGCACTTAGCACTGAAGTTCTTTATTTTTTGTGAATTAACACTTACTCCAGCTGTACTCAAGGAGAGTAGAATGGCAGGTCACTTCATGAATTTGCACTAAACAGCCCATTTGCTAAGCTAAACTTTAAACATTGGTGCATCCTGAATTTCGGGAGGAGGAGCATCTGTGTCCTCTTGCCGTGTGGTCACTTGTCATCCTCCCTCAGGATCGCTGTGTTCTCTGTGACTGTGCTGCATGATGACCGGATTGTCCTGGTGGCTGAGCAGCGGCCTGATGCCTCAGAGGAGGACAGCTTCCAGTGGATGAGTCGTGTACTGCAGGTGGGCTCTTGGGACTGGATACTCCTGGAGGGGGCTTATGAGTAACAGAAGTCACACAGCCCATGCTTCATTGTATTATTTTCCACTCTGTTTTATGATGGAGTATTTCAGATATATCAAATGTAAAGAGAATAGTATATCAGCCTCCAAGTTCCATTACCCAGTTTCATGTCCCATCTGCACCATCAGCAATACCATCCACATCTTAAAAATTAGCATTAATTTACCCATACAATTAACTCTCTAGTCACTGTTTAAATTTCCCTATCGTCTAATGATCATTTGGTTTCTTAGGCCAAGAACAAAACAAAGTCATAAATTATGATTGGTGGGGATATTCTTTTTCAGGCCTTTTTAGCCTGTAGACTCCTCGTCTGTCATTTTTCTTCAGTTTTTTACTGGAGAAAATAGGTTGTTTGTCCAGTAGCATTTCCCCAGCCTGACTTCTGCCCACTGCATATTGTGTGCATTGAATGTGTCTCCTGTGGTTCCTGTTCATTGATGGCTGGATCTGGAGATTTGATTGGCGTCAGGGTCAGTCTCCTGGCAAAACTTCTCTAGAAGGTGACACCTGGAATTCTACAATCCTCTCTGCTTGGTGCTCTGTATCCTGTGCCCATGACCTGTTGACTTAGCTGTGGTACAATGTTGATTCTGTTGTTCCTTCTTTATCATCAGTTGGATCAGCCAGCTGTTGCCCCAGGCCAGGTTGTGCAGGAAAACCAAGTGGAAGGTGGATTTCAAAGGAACAAATCTGAGAAGTGACCCTGAGTTTAGTTGGTTTGTTTCATCATTAGCTAATGGATTTAAATACCTTGGCTCTGTTTGTAGCTATGGTTTTTATCTTTCAGAAGACAGTGGGAGACTCTTGACAGATGCTGTGGTCTCTGGGGTTTCTGAGCAGAACCAAGCAGCTCAGAGGCACAGGGCACTTATACTGTGTGGCCAAGTATCAGATATTGGAGGCCACTGTCTGCACTCTCATTGTTACTGCCTTAGTCACTGTGTGTCTGCCCTTGTTTGTGTGCATGTGATCTGTGTGTGTGTATCCCCTTATCTGTGTGCATACACATTGTGTGTGTGTGTATGTGTTTCCCCTTGCCTGCATTGTTTTGTGTGTCTCCTCATTCTTAGTTAACACAGGAGGTATGTATGTGTATCCACTCTTTCTTAGTTAAATGTTAGAAACATGCACACTCTTCATCATCTCTCATTTCACAAATTCTGAAGGTCAGTTTTACTCCTGGGCTCTGGACCTGCATTTTCTCCCAGGGTCTCCTCTTCCAGTTTGTCCCTGCCCTGTGCTGCCTGCATATGCTCATTAGGGTCCTTACCTTCTAGGCCATCGACAGCATCCACCAGGTGGGTGTGTACTGTCTGGCACTGGTTCCTGCCAACACTTTGCCCAAGGCTCCTCTTGGAGGGATTCACATCTCTGAAACCAAACAGCGCTTTCTGGAAGGGACACTTCACCCATGCAATGTGCTGATGTGCCCTCACACCTGTGTCACCAACCTCCCCAAACCACGTCAGAAGCAGCCAGGTTAGTTGTATCTAATGACAGGACTCATCAGTCTTAAAATAGAGATAAGCCACAATCATGGTTAGATCCTACAGAAGTAGCTACTCATGTCTGGGGCTAGGCTTAAAGGTCAGAGTGATGCTTCTGGAACTGAACCAGGAATGAGGGGACTTTGCCATGTCACCTGTGTGGTGGTTGAACCAATTTTAATGGTAAATTCAAGGTGGCATCCTAGCTGTAGACAGCTAGAGGTGGCTTCCTGGAGACAGAAGTGATGCCCAGGAGAGTACTTTGACTTCCTCAAAAGAAGCAGAGGCTGGTCACAGCTGTGCCGTGAGCCAGCTTGCCTGTTTTCAGAGCCAGCTGCCGTTACAGCTGCCCTGTAACTTGCCCTGGAGTCAACGGGACCTCAGAAAGTCTCTCAAAGTCAACTTCCTGCCATTTTAGACACTTAAAAACTAGATTATCTATTACATATAAGCTTGTATTGCTTTGGTGATGTAAACTTTTAGTGCAAGAGCTAATCTTTCTTTTGCTAATAACTGGACCTATAAAGTATCACTAAAATATATTTCGTTAACATTTAATTTTTTGATTTATATATGAAACCATAAAATAGTTAAGGAATTTGACTGAAGTTCCCAGATATATGCTTTGTAGTAAAGTACTCAATGTGGCACAGTTTATATTTAAGAGAGATTCTCTTTGTCACTCAACATAAATCTTGTGGTTAGTTTTCTGAATACTTGTATTTTAACTAACTCAGGTGTGTTTCAAAATAACAAATACAGTAGAGTCATGTGATGAATCATCCTCTCCCTCGGAATCTATTTCTAGAGGTTGGACCAGCCTCAATGATCGTCGGGAACCTGGTTGCTGGGAAGAGAATTGCACAGGCCTCTGGGAGAGAGCTGGCCCACCTGGAAGACAGTGACCAGGCACGGAAGGTAGTGGGTGCTTCCTGGGGGTGTTGGGCTGTCCTTGAGCTCTAGGGAGGGAAACTGTTGGCCCCTGGGGGAGACAGCCTTCAGCTCCAGTGCTGACCTAGTGCTGAGCCCACCCCCCTCTACGCAGTTCCTGTTCCTGGCTGATGTGCTGCAGTGGAGGGCTCACACCACTCCTGACCACCCACTGTTCCTGCTGTTGAATGCCAAGGTGAGAGCAGGGCTGCACCTCGGCTACAAAGGGGACTCTTGTGGCCTTTCCAGTTTGTCGTTTCAGTGTCCTCATTTCTTTCATGTTCAGAGATTAGCATTTCTTTAGGCTTTTGGCCCCTTGTCTGGCATTGTTCTCTCTGCACGCTGCTTTCCTTACAGAACTCTTATCATTTGTGCAGTTCAGACAACAGTCTTTCTGTGATTTTGTGTTTAGCAGAAAAATTCTAATCAGATCCATTTTTTATAAAACAGTATGCATGTAAATACTCCTAAGTTTGTGAGGTAAAACTTAGCATTTAGACTTTCTGCATCAGCTTATGGCTTTGAAATGACAAATCCCACTTAACTGCCTGAGCCTGCTGCTGGTGTGTGATTGGAAAATTCACTCTCACATATTCTGAATGCCTGTGAGGGTGCTTCACATTGTACTAGGAGTGTCTAGGATGTAAAGAAGGAAGTGCCACATGTTGCAGTGTGAGCAGGAATATAAAACCTGCAATGGTGAGCACCCTGCACGAGTTCCTGTCAGCTGAGCAGGGACCATGCGAAAGTGGCTTCTGATGCTGCTTTCTCAGTCAGAGTTGGGTGTTTTGTTTTGGTTGAAATAAAACCGTGCAGCCTAAGCTGGCCTTGAACATGTGATCCTTCTGCCTAACTCAAGTGCTGAGAATACAAATGTGCATCACTGTGCCTGGCTCATTCAGAGATATTTATTAATGCCCACTGTGTGCAGAGTATGTGAAAGACAGCAAGGACCTCTGATCACAGGACACTTAAATGTAGACACCAAATCCCACGAGAGAGAGAGAGAGAGAGAGAGACTATCTTGTTTTCTGGTGTATCACAATAAACATAACTCTTACAAGTGAGTTCTAAAACATACAGATAGCCAACAATTAATAGTCGTCCAAGATGTAGTCAACTTGTGGTGAGAACCTCAAGATCAGTGAGAAGTGACAGAGTGCTGGGGATGGGGTTCCAAATGAGGGCAAGAGTAGCTCAGCTACAGAGCTCTGAATCAGTGATACATGGTAGGCTTAAGTTGGGGAGTTGAGGCTCAGGGGAATGATGCAGGACACATAAGAGGCCAGGGCAGGTGCATTCTTTTATCCCGGTGGTGCAAAGGGATGCCCTGGTCCAGACTGACTGGCTAGGAACATGATGTGGTTCACAATTATGGGTAATTCTCTAGACTGTAAAAAGATGAGATGGGAAGCTAGGAACAAGGGTGGAGTGAGACCACAGAGAAACAGAGGTGGGCAAACATGGGTGCTCATGATGGACAAGGAAGCCACCAAGTGGGGAGGAGCAAGAACGCTGACTCAGCTTACCTGTGGGGAGACTGCCGAGCTCCATGGAGACATCAGGCCCAAAAGACCAGAACTGGCCCTCTCCAAATCCACTCCATACTTCTGCTCAGAGTCATTCTTAAGCTTCCACCTTTCTTTAGGTTCATCCACCTTCTATAGAGTTAGATTGTCACTGGATCCCCAAGAATATGCTGCCCTTTTACCCAGGAGGAACCTGTGGCAGTGCAGGTGGCAGCTGTGGCACAGGTGGCCCCAGACCATGGGAGTCTCAGAGCCACATAAACCCCATGCCTGCAGGGCCCTTGCCCTCACATAGACTGGCAAGGCTGTGAAGTATGGACTTGGAATCTGATTGGAGCTAGTGTTTGCCTTATTGCCTGGGAACAAAGGAGAGGTTCATTCCCTGCTCTCCCTTGTACTATCTGCTGTCAGAAGAAGCCACCAATTGAGAAGTGAGGATTTGTGATGCCACTTTGGCCTGCCCTGGAGTTTTATGATTATTAGGTTGACTTTCACTTAAAGGCTGTGAGGCCTGGCTGTCCCAGGTTCAGGGGAGAGGAGTTCATGGCAGGGTAGGGACTGCGGGAGTTGGTGTGCACCAAACTGGTCACAGCCAGCCACAGGACGGAAGGAGCTGCTGCAGTTGCAGCTAGACACCACATGGGCACCTCCAGTAAGTAGGTTGCAGAAGGACACAGGCTGCTCAGAGTCATGTAGTTTGTTTACTGTTTATGATTTGTTCACTGATACTGCATGCAGGGTGACAATTGCTCTTGGGAGACGGGAAAGAATTGGCAGGTGATCTGTAGGTGGCTTCAAGCACAGTGACAAGGATTTATTTCAAAAGAGGGAGACTGAAGCATGATAGGATGTTATCAGAGAAAAGAACCTGGATACTTGTTATATTATTCTTTGAAATGTATTTGAGATAATTTTTGTCAGGTAGGGTAAAAGTGTTTTGTAATTGAAGTGACTCTGTCTGGGATGAGCAGGGTACCAGCCCCTTCGGGCTCCATTGGGACCACTCAGAGGTGCCCATCCCTCTGTTGCAGCAGCTGACAGACACCAGCATTATCCAGGCCTGACATAACTGGTTCCTGATTACAGGAGCTGGGTTTGTAGAGACTACACACAGTCCCTGGATAAATGCTGTCCATCTGCATGCATCTATACACTGACAAGCTTGATTGCCTTCTCAGGGCACAGTCACCAGCACTGCCACCTGTGTCCAACTGCACAAAAGGGCTGAAAGGGTGGCAGCTGCTCTGATGGAGAAGGGGAGACTGGATGCAGGGGACCACGTGGCTTTGGTTTACCCCCCAGGTAAGTACACACCTGGGACCTCTCCTCCCCCACATGCTGCCTCACCTCAAATGCCAGTGGGAGCCTCCTGTGGCTGGCCCATGACTCCTCTGGGGGATCTCTGTTGCTGGTGGCTTCCTTGCCATTGAGCGGCAGGTGCTCAGGCCCATCCTGTGCTTCCCACCCCAGGGCTGGGGTGTGCCTTCCCAGGCACCATTCTGATTCTCCAGAACAGGATCTGGCACTGGGGGGCACCAATTGCTGTTGGCTGCTGTGGCTAGTAGGCCTTTTCAGTGAGCAGAGCCAGAACTCCAAGTAAATATGACTCAGTCTCTTAGGGACACAATGGTTCCTGATTCTCGCAGTTCATTCCCTCCAACTCAGGTTCAGGACTATAAGTGTTACTAATTCTCCTCTACAGAATTTCTTCCTTTGCACCCAAGACTCCTGAGTGATCAGGATAGAGGTGGCAGGATTGGAATTTCCCACACCCCTCCTTACATGCAGCATTCTTCATATAACGTCAGTGAGACCACAACCACCTCTGGTTTTCAAGAACAAGTGGAGGTTTTTGGCATGTGCTCACTTGCCCTCTTTTTATTGCTACGGCAGACCTGTTTTCAGAGGATGGATGGCTGCTGTCCTCTCTTCACTCCTGCTTGAGTTTAGTTCCACTTGTATCCCTGCATCATGTTCTCCCTCAGCCATCTGTCCCTGTGCCCAGCCGTCATCTGAAGCTCCTTTTTCAGACCAGTTCCTCTGGGAGGCATGCTTGTTGATAAGTCTGTCAGTACACCTGCAATGGAAAGTCACTTCTGGCTCAAGCTATCTTTCTCTGAGTATGTGGAGCCCTCACCTGTCTTCTGCTGCCCCCTGGTCAATGACAGTCTCGCTTCTTTCACTCAGGCATCGCTTGCTGGGTTTGCCTCAGTGGAAACAGGTCTTGTCCACTTTTTCTTCGGAGTCCTGATATGGATTGTTCTGGGTCAAATGTATCTTGTACAGGGCCTCTTTGAACATGAGAAATCATGACTTTTGTTTAATTCAAGAACATTTTCTTGGATCATTGTTTTTCCACTGTATTTTCTTCCTTTGCTTTTCTTTATGTACTTTTCTTCCTTCCATTCATGAATGAGGTCTTTATCTGTCTTCAGTAACTGTAATTTATTTTATTTACTTATTTTTTTGGTGGTACTGGGGTTAGAGCTCAGGGCCTCCCACTTGCTGGGCAAGTGCTCTAACCCTTGAGCCACGCCCCTAGCCCTTTTTGCATTAGTTATTTTCTTGGAAAGGGTCTTGCACTTTTGCTCAGGCCAGCTGTGACCACAACCCACGTACATATCCCTCCTTTGCAGCTGGAATTACAGGCACACACCATGATTCCCTGATTATTGGTTGAGATAGGGTCTCACTAACTTTTTTTTGTCTGAACTGGCCTTGAACCACAATCCTCTCAATTTCCATCTCTCAAGGAGATGGAGTACAGGCATGCACCACTATTCCCAGTCCTCTTTTCAATCATCTCTTTCCTACTCAATTTCATTTTAAATGTCTTCTCTTTTATCTTAAGGCTTTATCTGTCATCTTGGGCTTCTTCAAATTCCATTTTTGTTTTGAAATGATTTTTAAAATTTTTGGTTTCTAATTCTATCATTATGTATTATATCATTTTCTTACTGCATTTCAGCACATTTTGAAAGAGACAGTTGTGATTTTGTGTTTTGTGGGTGTCTTTGGCACGCTTCTCTGTGTGGGTGATGATAGTCTGCTTTGCATTCTTATAACTGCTTCCCGAAACTCTGGCTGTGTCCCTCCCCGGTTTTGTCCTTCCTGTCTCACTCCTTCATGCTGTTTCTCAGTCCTCCATTGGCCATCTCCTGCAGTGCTGCCTCCTCCTGGATTGAGTGGCTGCCTAGGTTCCCACAGGCACTGGTTGTGGTCAGTGAATGGATGGACAATTCCTGCAACTGCAACATCCCTCTCCTGCTCTCTGATCAGACCCACAGCATGTGAGGACAAGATGCCAGTATTCTTCCTAAGGTGCTCACTTTATTATCCCTCCCTTGTCTGTCTCTCCTATCCTACGTCTCACTCCCATCCCTGTCCATACTGAGATTCCTAGAGGATTCCCACTACTCTTCTCTTAGCACATATCCTTGGCATGGCCCTTGTCCTTCCCTCTCCCCTTCTCTGTTGCAAAAATAAATATAGCCAGACATAAGAGACAGTGGTGAAAGCATATTTTGTTAAGTGATTACTGACGGTGGAAGAGAAGGACACCAGAGAAGTGAACAAGGACAAAGCCTGGCAAGTTTTACAGCCGGAGCCACCTGTCCGTCAGGACTCTGCCCTCCTGTGGATGGGGACAGAAGCCCTGTCCTGGATTCCGTTTCCAAGGATGAGCTGTCAGGTCCTGAGGAGACCTGCTGAGCTACCAGAAATGCTCATGCACAACCTAAAAGCTCCAAACTGGTGGTCAGGATCAGTGCACAGTGGCTTCCTCTGAAGGCATCCAAATGTGAGACTCTGCCTCATGCTGCTGGATACTGAAGCTGGATGCAGTGGTGGGGTGCCTGCCCTGGTCCATCCCAACCTCTCAGTTCTGTTTGTTTGCTGTTCAGCTGTCATCAAGTGGTACACTGATCAGGTCTCCCTGATCTGACACCTGGTGGCACACTCTGGGAGCCTGTCTGGCACCGACAAGTCACACCGCAGCTGGGACACGAGTCTCTAATGGCACTTCTCATGGTTGGGTATCAGGCTTGTTGGGTGATTACACCAGTCGCATTTGTCCCATGTGTGTTTGCTGTTATGTTGTTTAGAAGCATGTGGTTTTTTTGTTTTTCTGGGTTTTTTTTTAGTGACTTCAGGGTTCTGGAGTGCTCCTTGCATGTGCCCGATGTGGTCTGCTCTGTCCTTGCCCCCTGGATCTTCTACTCTCACTCCTCCTGTGACAGATACTCTGCTCTGCCACAGCCTTCCCTCCTTCTCTGACTTTGGAGGTCCTCAGCTCACTTTTGGGTCTGCCACCCACATCATGGCTCTTCCGTACTGACTTCCTTCCATGCTTTTACGCTGTTATATACTTGCCTGATCACTTGTTTGAGTTCAGTGAGGACCACCCTTCTTTGTTTTATCTGGTAGATGTAGTAGTGCACTTGGCACTTCCTCTGTCGTGGACATCTCTGCTCAGTCACTCAGCGACGGTGTCAGCTTGGTTTATTTCTTGATGTACCCCCTTCATACTGAAAATACTCCAGAACCCCCACCAGAATTACCTGTTCCTCACATTCTTTCTAGTCCTCGTGTGTGGGATTGCTTTCCCCAGGGATGGCTGCAGCTACTGCTCTGCATGTGTCTCCTGGTTCCAGTACACAGGGACTTTATGCAGCCCCTCACTACAGGGCAAGCACCACCCTGACCATGAGAGGAGGTGGAGACTCCAACAAGTTGTAAGTTGGAACTCCTTGCCTGCCATCCCCAAGCACCACAGCATACTGTACAGTGTTGCTCTTCCCTTGGGATCACAGGGCTGCTGGGAGCTACCACTCAGTGCTGCTACCCAGCACATAGGATTGCACCACATACTGGTTTGCAGTTTCTACTGAATGTGTGTCACTTTTGGGTCAGTGTAAAATTGAAAGATCAAAAGTTGGCCCAGAGTAAGTCAAGGGGCCATCTGTACAATTATGATAACAGATTCAGAATGTGAATTGGGGACCTGGTATTGTTCTTTGCTTTTGGGTGTGCTTAATGCTGTTCATACAATTTTTGTTTTGGTGCTAGGGATTGAATTCAGAGTCTCGCACATGCTAGGCAAGCTGAACTCACTCCAGCCCCAAATTTTTAGTGATAAAGTAAAATCTGTGGTGAGGTTCTGCATTTACCTTTAGCGACTTGCCAGCAGGTAGAAAGATTATGGCCACCAGGTCATAGTCCTGGAATTGCTAGGGTGTGCAAACATTTGTAACCCAGCACAGGAGGGTGTGCTATGTGTTTCCTGGGGCATGGGGGACTGAGTTCCTGCCACGTGTTTGCCAGGGATCCAGGAACAAGAAGACCAGCCAGGGAGACCTGGGCACCTTGAGATCCAGGAAGAGACTCCTGGCATAGTACCTGTGGTTTGAGGCCAGTTGGGCAGAGTGCTCTCCTGAGGGAGCCACCTGGCTGTTGGAAACTGTAACCTGATAAAATCCTCCGCGATTGGAACCGCCAGATGCAAATGCATTTCTCATATCCAAGAAACATGTTCTCCAATTATACTGACTTTGGAAAACAGGTTTTAAGCATGGCATGACTTTTCCCTAAACTTTAATTATGGGGAATTTAAACCAGAAAAGCTGGAAGAGCAGTGATTGATCATCTTTGGCCTGGTATGGGTGAGGTAACAGAAAACCCGGGGCCCACACCAGGGTCTCTCAGCCCATGAAGGTCTGGAAGTGTGGCTCTTTTGCTATGGCTGAGGGAACTTGTGTTGCAGATAGCTTGTCTTAAAAGGTTTTCCTCTGGAATCTTTGTATGCAGACCTGCCCAGCCCTTCCCAGTGCCCAGGTCTCCCTCCCACTGCACAGGGCAGCACATTGGGCTCCCAATGTCTCCAGTCCCTGCCACCATGACCCCTCTACTTCATGGCCCTCCGGGGTATAAATACCTTATCATTTTGGAGTCAATCATTGCTGTATCACAAGGAAACCATGCTTGATTCTCCTTTGTCTGTCTATGGACAGATGTTTTAGGCCATCCTTATGAGCCTGGACTTAATAACCATGCTCTGAGCCCTGTGCTAACCATCTGCCCTGTATCCCCAGGCGTGGACCTCATCGCTGCATTCTATGGCTGTCTGTACTGTGGCTGTGTGCCCGTCACTGTGCGGCCCCCACATCCCCAGAACCTTGGCACCACGCTGCCCACTGTGAAGATGATTGTGGAGGTGCGCTTTCTCTGCTGGCAGGCCAGGTTCTCCTGGGTGGAAAGCCATTGCTCCCTCCTCATGCATTGCCACTCCTGCAGGGTAGTGTGCAGGCAAGGGGCAAGAGTCACAGCTCACAGCTCTCATCTCTGTGTGGTGCAGGTCAGCAAGTCTGCATGTGTCCTCAGTACACAGGCCATCACACGGCTGCTCAAATCCAAGGAAGCAGCCGCCGCTGTGGATGTCAGGACCTGGCCAACCATCTTAGATACAGGTATGAGTCTTTAGCAGTGGGACCAACTTGGACCAACTCCTTTTATGTAGGGTTTCTTTTCTTTTTTGTAGGGGATACATTGTTGCCATCCAAAAACAAATATTAGGATAATTGTTTCAGCTGAAATAGGGTAAATGTTTCCAGGTTTAGTGAATGGCCAGAAGGCTGCTAAATGAATCCTTGGATCTGCAGGCTTACAATGAGTGAGTCATCAGATATCACTGTTGCTTGAATGTCAGGGTCCCTGTCCCAGGGCATGAGCTGCTTTCTCTGCTTTGGGTCCACCAGCAGTGACCCCAATGCCTGTGGGGAAGGGACTGAAGCCTTGCTTCTCACTGATTCTTGCCCACACTGTGGGTTAGCACTTGCTTGCCACATTCTGCCAGTCCCTAGAGACACAGTTCCACTGGGTACCCCCAGCATCCTTGTCTCTAACACTGCTGAATGCAGCCATAACCCATGAGATGCCTGTGGGCCAGGTGGGAAGGGGCTGAAAACCCTGTGCTTGGACAGTCAGATCAGCATGGTGAACCTGTTTCAGCCTAAGGCTGAGGGGAGAGTATCTCAGCTGCCCAGATGGAGACCCTCACAGCTGAATGGCACCTAGCACTATGGCCATAGTCTGAGTGCTGGCCACCAAGAGGCAGGAGGCTTTCCTTCCCCATTGCACCCTTATACTCTAGGGCACATCTTGAGGGAAGCCAGGAACTATATTTTCTGACTGACTGCCTGTACCTGTGATAAGCAAAGGGAGCCAGCTGGTACTGGTGCTTCTGGTGTGGGATGAGGGACAGGCCTGGAGCAGACTGCCAACTAAATCCTATAGTTTTGCAGGTCTGCTCTTGCACTTGCTGAGCCTGCATCCACTGTACATTGCACAAAGGTGGTGTCTACCTCAGAGGGTGACAATTTGATGAAGCATGCAGGGCCTGGAACCCGCTTGGCTGCTCCTGTTGTGGTTGGGGTTCTGGGTTCATTGTGGCTTTGTCACAGGCTTTATGACCTTGTCAAGTCTTCAGGCCTCTGATCTTTCTTACTTGGAACAGTGACTTTCATGTGGGTCTCATGGCCTGGCATCTTTTCCTGAGCCCTACCTTGCCCCTTCATCCCTGTCTCCACATGCTCAGGACAGTCCTGGTGGGCATACACTGGTGACATTCCCTGGAAAATGGAGCTTTGCCATGTGCACATGCAACCTGTCCTGCCTGTGCAGAGTCAGGCAGAAACACTAATGTCACTCGTGTCTCCTTTTTAACAGATGACATACCAAAAAAGAAGATAGCTAGCATTTTCAGGCCACCCTCTCCAGATGTGCTTGCGTACTTGGACTTCAGTGTGTCAACCACTGGGATCTTAGCAGGAGTGAAGGTAGACCTTTGGACAGCCTCGGTGCATGGAGGAGTGGACGAGAAGGATGTGGGGTGTGGCAGTAGCAGATCTTTCTTATCCAGAGCACAATGTGAAAGTATTGGTTTTAAAATCCATGCTAAATGCTGATGAACCACAGCATTGGATTCTTGAGAGTAATGTGCATTTTGATGTTTTAGGGTGGTGTGTAAACATTCTGATTTATGTCTCTTCGGCCCCCAGAAAGAGGCAGCTTTGATGCGTCTTATATCCTAACTAGGAGCTGAGTGTAGTAAAACTCTTTGCTGTCCTTGAGTCTTGCTTCAAATATTTTAGTGTGCTTCTTCCTGGGTGTTATTCAGTTCCTGTGGGGATGCAGGGAAAACACTGTGATGCTTGGTAGTTTGGAGCTGTGTGCACAGCTGACTGTGCAGCAGACGCACATCACTGAGTAGGCTTTTTCTCCACTCCCACAGATGTCGCATGCAGCCACAAGTGCCTTGTGCCGCTCCATAAAGCTGCAGTGTGAGCTGTACCCCTCGCGGCAGATCGCCATCTGCCTGGACCCCTACTGCGGCCTTGGTTTCGCACTGTGGTGTTTGTGCAGGTGAGGCAGGCACCCTCAGCACCACAGTCCTGTTGTGGCTTCATTACCTAACTGACTGTAAATGCTAGAAAGTAGTAATCTACCTTTAGCCATAGGAGGTCTCCACACAATATCTTTGATGCTTCTGAAGTGTGTGTGGAGGCCAGGGCCCATGTGTGTCGCCCATCCTCCCCCACCAGCAGTGTGTTTCTACCAAACTCCTCTGGATATTACAACAGACTTGTACTGGAGAAGTGGTGTCCTTGAGGATGGAAGGAGTATGCCTGGTGCTCTGGCTCCTTCCCAGCTCCCTCCCTGTCACCCTGGCAGTGTCTACTCTGGACATCAGTCAGTGCTGGTGCCCCCACTGGAGCTGGAGAGCAATGTGTCCCTGTGGCTATCAGCCGTCAGTCAGTACAAGGCCCGAGTCACCTTCTGCTCCTATTCAGTGATGGAGATGTGCACCAAAGGCCTGGGTGCACAGACAAGTGCCCTCCGGGTGAGTGCCACCCCACATGCCTCTCCTATGGTCCCGGTCCCCGGTCCCTGTAGCTACAGTGGAGGGGAGGATGTGTGAGGAGCAGGATGGTGTGCTGGCCAGTGAGTGATGGATCCCCACAGTGCACACATGTTTAGATTTCCCAGGCTGGAGGGGACAGGTGGTTTATGTTCCTTTGCCTTTGTGCGCCCAGACCTAGCACAAATCCACATGCATCCCACACAGAAACTTTCTAAGATGTTGGTGCTGAGCGCCCTCACTTGTACTTTGTGGACCAATTCCCTGCTCCTCCACAGATGAAGGGGGTGAATCTGTCCTGTGTGCGTACATGCATGGTGGTGGCTGAGGAGCGGCCCCGGATTGCACTGACGCAGTCTTTTTCCAAGCTGTTCAAGGACCTGGGCCTCCCTGCACGTGCTGTGAGCACCACCTTTGGGTGCAGGGTCAATGTAGCCATCTGTCTCCAGGTAAGACCACTGCGCCCGGGGTTGCTGGTGCCTGCTCCTGGCTCAGTCAGGGACTGAAAAGTTCTCGGGCTGATACTAGTATGTAGCTCAGTACCCGCCTGGTCCCTTTCTCCACCTCCAAGCCTTGTATGTTGAATTTCCACATAGCTATTCAGCTTTGAGAACTATGAGGACTTTGTTTAGAAAGATGCTCTATTCTTGTTGATGAAGAAACATTTATTTGGAAAAAAAGTCATTTTTTAGCAGAGGCTATTATATCTGTGAGCATTTCTAAGTTGTATATAATATGTAGATAAGTTTTGTTTTTATTTTCTGCATTACTGGGACTTGAACTCAAGGCCTTGTGCTTGCTAGGCAAGTGCTATAGCACTTGAGCCGCTCTCCCAGTCTATGTAGCTAATATTTAAAAGCAAGATTGTACTTACTGTTTTAAAACAGCTAGTAATTTTAAATCAGAACATTAATACCTACGTTTTGTATCGATCTGATTTATTTTGAAAGTGTTAAGTAAAGTATTCTCCTTATTAAAGGAAAGGCAAAGTTTTAGAGTTGAAGCACTCACTGTATGGATTCTTCACTGACTATTGTTTTCTAATTTTGTACTGGCCTTTCTGGTTCACATCCATCTAAGCTGCTGAGATGTCCTATGTATCAAATGCATTATTCACCACATAGTACAAGAATGGCTGGGAGAGAGCAGATGTGGTAATGCACACTTGTGATCCCAGAACTTGGGAGGCTGAGGCAGGAGGATTTCAAGTTGGAGGCCAGCCTCAGCTACATAATAAGACCCTGTCTCAAAACAAACAAACAGACAAACAAACAAACAAACCAACCAAAGAATACCGGAGAGGAAGAGGCATCTCCAGTTCAGAGGAGAGCTAGGGCCCCTTCTGGATTCCCAAAGCATTTGCTTAGCATGCCCTGTCCTCATGGTGGCGCACATGTAGGAAAGGTCTTTGTACTTTGTGCACCAATTCCTTGCTCCTCCACAGATGAAGGGGGTGGATCTGTCCTGTGTGTGTACATGCATGGTGGTAGCTGAGGAGTGGCCCAGATTGCACTGATGCAGTCTTTTTCCAGGCTGTACAGAGACCACACCTGTCATGTCAGCATCGCCTTGTTTTTCTAGCACATTTTTGCTAATGTGCTCTCCCACAAAGGCTGTAGACCACTCTGGGATAGTGGGTGGGTCGTGCTTGATGTTCCTTCCTGTGGTTGCTATGCTTTGGTGGCTTTGACTTAAGACCCAATCCTGCCCCAGAAGCTGCACCCCTTGCTGGATATGGGAGGGCATCCATTCTGTTTGTTGGCCTGGTAGATGCCGCATGTGATCAGAATTCCTGATGGGGTACCCATGTTTGCACTATTTAAGATACAATGATGTGTTTTGCACTCTCTCACCATGTTTCTCATGTGGCCTGTGGCCTTCTGTTTGTTTCCTGTGCTGTCTCCTCCCTATCTCCCTCTGCTGGCCGCCTTGGCCTCTGTCAGCCCAACAGGCTGGGAAAGCTGGCTGAGCAGGTATGACCTTGACCTTGCTGGTGCTTCTGTGCTCCCCTCCATCTATCAGATTGTGTGACCTTCTTGTGAATTCCAGACCAATATCTGTTTCCTTTGCTGTCTTACTTGTTACAGTGGGTATTGTTTGACCTACTACAAAAACTCCTTTGTAATGAAATTTGAAAGTAAAACCATTTTTCAGAGACTTGCTTGGGGAGGAAGAGCTGTGCTCATCCTCAGCACAGAGGGTTAGTTCTAGGGCAGACAAAGGTGGTGCTGTCTGGGATGTTCAAGGAGTGATGTTGATCAGGATGCTAGTTGAATCTGCTGATCCTTACCTAATAAAATGGCACATGCTGTCCTTTAATCTAGACCAATACCAAATGTGAGATCTACAAGTCAGGATGAGAGTCACTCTTCCGTTTCATTGGAGTGAGCTTCTACCTGCTTGGTCCCCAGCAGAGCTAGTGAGAGGTCAGGCCCTGCCTGGTGCCTGGTGGAAATGTTTTAATCACAACAAGAGACCAGTGGGGATAAAAAATTGGTAGAACCAACATGAAAATTCTGTGATTTAACATTTCCATTCAGTGTTGTTGAATGTGTCACTCTGTCATCAAGCCATATGGATGTTTGGATAACAGCATCAGCTCAGCCCTGGTACCCTGTGCCCTGGGCAGACTGGCTGCAAGGAGCAGAGCTGCCTTCCTGGATACCCTTTGGTCACCCCTCCCCAGGAGGCAATGCCACACAGCTGAGCCTGTGACACCAAGGACACAGGGTCCTGAAGGAAGTTCCTGTGCTTCTCCCCTTGTAGGGCACAGCTGGTCCAGACCCAACGACTGTCTATGTGGACATGCGAGCTCTGCGTCATGATAGGTAATGTCCCTCCCCTCTGCATGGCATCATCCAGGTCTGGGACAAAATTCCACAGACTGGGTTTGCACTAAATATCTCCAGATCCTGCCCTAGTGGGCAGGTGGCTGAGTCAGGCTCCCAGATCCCCAGGTGCTAGTGGACAGCTGGCCAATTTGGGGCCATGTACACTGGAGAAGGATTAGCACCATGGGCTTGCTCAGTTACGTGCCACCGGAGCTGTTGCAAATGATCCTTTGTACTTCACTCCACAGCACTCCACTCCACTCCATAGTTGGTGACAGAGTGACCAAACATTTGATGTTTGCCTTTATGGGAATGGTTGAAAACTGGAAAGCCAGCCAGTCTCCAGGACCTACTTGCCTGATGCTGTTCAGCATCCACCTTAGTTTTCACACTGGGAAGAAAATATGCTGAGCCGCCGTGTGAATTTGGGGAGCCTCCCCACTGTGAAGCTTGGATCCCAATTCTAGGTCCTTAAACATGGCCGTGCTACAGCCCAGTGTAAAAAGTAGTTGCAGCTTACCAGTTGCTAGGTGCTGGCCAGGTCCAGGAGGACCCAAAAGAAACAGAACCAGCTCTTTCCATGAGCACACAGAGAGGTGGGGAATGGGTCTATGGATCCATGCTGCAGGGCCTTCTGTTGTTTCCTGTGGCATCCAAATAGCTGACCAAGACGTTCACAGCAACAGATGTGATAATCAATTTCCATTCATCTTGTGATTTGCTGTTTTAGAAATTATTACCCATGTAATTTTATTCTGAAATATTTTTCCTGTCAATTTTTAGGGTACGTTTGGTAGAACGGGGTTCTCCGCATAGCCTGCCGTTGATGGAGTCTGGAAAGGTAGTGAAAACTGGACTCTGCCCCACAGTGTATCTGAGCCATTGTATCTCCAACACCACATCCAGTGGGCATTGCTGGGCTTCGAGCTCCCAGTGTGCATGATTGTTTCTGGATGGGTGGGCTGGGCTGCCACAGAGCCCCTCCACATTGCAGACACCCATTGAAAACATGACCTCAGAGCCAATAAAGAGAGAGCCCAGGCAAAGAAGGAAAGGAACTGCCCTAGGGGGATGTGAGAGATTAGGCTAGGGAGTGAGGGCCCAGCCCCGACATTTCCAATCTTGGGGGTGGCCCTAGCCCCAGACTGGGGACGTGAAGAACTTATACCCTGGGTTGGGGTGACAGCAAGGAAGAGGCTCTACCAGGGGATTTGCCATCAAAACTGGTCCTGACCTGGTGAAGGGTAGGAGGGGCTGTCAAAACTGTGAGCTTCTGGGAGGGATTAACAGGCACAAGCGCAGAAGAACAGGCATCCTTGGAACCAAGGAAGGTCCAAAGGAAGGATGACTGGGCAGGTAAGAAAATCAAACAGCCTGGAGTGGGCAGGTGGTGTGTCCCAGCATGACTGGAAGCACAAGTGCCCCACACAGTGCCTGCACAGCAACTGCTGTATATCCAGGGCCTCGGAAGCACCTGGGATCTGCCTCTCTGCATGTTACTCGAAAGCCCCAGAGGCAAGAAATGGAGCTTGACTACTCCAACTTCACCACTCACTGCCATGGCCACACCTGCCTTCAGGGAGACAGGGAGGAACTCAGAGAGGGCCAGAGCCAGTCACATGGTAACCAGTGCTCAGATCCCAGCTGGTCAGTGGGCAACTCCAGGGCAGAAGGCACTGCTGTGCAAAGGCTATGTGGGAGCCATTGGGAAGCCAGTGTGGCTGGAGTGAGGGAGAAGCAAGGGTGGCACTCAGGGACAGGGGCTAGTGAACTTTCCTTCCACATCTTCTTTGTACAGTTGCTCTGAGATGCAGACTAGCTGAGAGCTGGGACAGATGCAGTCCAGAGGACGACCCCTCTATGTGAAGAGCTGAGACTGCCAGGCCCTCTTCTATAAGCTGAAATTTGTGCTCTGCATAGTTTTTCTAAATCCTTTTGTCAGCTTGGCACAGTTTCCCTGTGTCACCACCAGCAGGAGTCCTCCCAGTTCTTGTCCCAATTGTCATGTATGGTTGCAGTGTGATTGCTTTACTTGCTACTTTCAAGTAAATACTTTCCCTACACTCTTTTGCTGATACAGTAACTTGGACCTGATGGATTTGTGTTCTGGAATGAGAACTTTGGTTTTGGTGTTCAGGCGGGCCATATGGCAAGAGTAGGAGCTCTAACAGTGTCCCAGGAGACAGAACAGTCCCTGAGAGCAATGCAGAAAAGGGTATGGTGCCCACCACAGACTCCTTCCTTCCTGTGGTCCCTTGTCCCTCCAGCTGCCTTATGCCCACACTGCTATCACCCTGTTTCATATATGGGACACTGAGGACACACCAACTGGCCAAGCTTGTGTGTCCAGGTGATCTTCCCTGAGCCAGGGAGGAGCCACCAGGACTGGGCATCAGAGGTTGAGCAAAGAGACATGGCCTTCAGCCTGCCTGAGTCTATAGGGAAGAGTCACAGGTGTAGAACTTCCCCATGGTCAGTGAAGGGGACAAAGCTTATAGATTCCACTTCCCACAGGGCCAGGTGCCTGCAAGTGGGAGAGTCCTCAGCCCTAGTGAGAGCCCCAGGGTCAGCAGGGTGTTCACCCAAAATGCTGCCGTGCCCTCCTGACAGACAGGGCCCATTCTCAGGAACTGGGATCATTTTGTTCAGACTCACAACTTATTTCTATCTGTTATTGTCTCTTCTTTCTTTTAAAATTCAAAGTCAAATTTGGAGTGCCTTCTAAACTTCCTGACCTGCCTGGGGCATGACAGTCCTGCACACCAGCTCCCAAGGGACACTGTTGTTTTAAACACCACTGAATCAGGAATCTCATGTTGTTTTCTTTGGCAGGGGCCTCTAACAGCTCTCTTCCTTCCAGATCCTCCCTGGGGTGAAGGTCATCATCGCGCACACTGAGACCAAAGGGCCCCTTGGAGACTCACACCTGGGTGAGGTGAGCACTGGCCAAGGCTCACTGGCTTTGTGCTCCTCCCTTCCTGCCCCAGATTTGGGAATTATGAACCCCCTGGAGTCATATATGTCTCTGGAATCCCAGAAACTGACCCTTTCCCCTACTCACTTGGCTCCCAGGCTCAGCTGCTATGTGGGGTTCAGGGTGTCACTGGACAAGCTGCCCTCCCTGTATCACCCCACCAACAGAGAGAGCCTCAAGTTATGAAGGCAGTGGGAGGACAGAGAAGCTCAGAGAACTGGCAGCAGCACAGGAACAAATGCCCTGGCAGAACTCAACAATGCCCCATAAAAAGTGGTTCCTGACCAATCAGAAGCATAGACTTAGTGAGGCCAGAGATGGGGCTGTGGGATTCAGGGCCACACAGGACCTGTGCCAAGGACTCAGAACTCTCGATGTCCTCAGGACTCAGTATACAGAGTGCATTTGTGGCATGTAGGGGCTGACACTCACAGGCAGTGGACAGGTTTGGTCCCTCAGTCACAGGCAATGGTGGCCCAGGTTGATTGGTTGTGGTGCTTTCAAATCACCATCCTCACTCACCGTTGGTAATCTCTGCTGGGACGCCATCCCAGGCCTGCCAGGAAGAATTATACAGATCCCACTTAGCTGGCTCCATCAGACATCAAGTGCATGAGCCTTCCCCACCCCCAGCCCCACCAGGTAGCACAAATGTCCTGACTTATGGGAAGATGTCCCAAATGTGGATGGCATGAGGGGCCTGCCCCAACCATCCCACTTTCTGGCCAGCAGAACCCAGGTCTTCAGTCCCAAAAATTGTTGGTTTGAGGCAGGTGGGAGGAACCACCACTAATGGCAGCTGCCCAAAGGAGAAGCCCCTGGCGGCTGCCCCTTCTCTTTGCTGCCATGTGGCATTGTGAGTGTGGACACTGGGAGGGTTCTGGATGGGTCCTGTGTGTAGCAGCCTCTCACGCCCTGAGGACTATAGTTGAAGGCCTCTAGCCTTTGGTCTGTGCATAAATGTCCACAAATATTCACGTGAGCAGCTCACACGGATGAACATGACCACACGTGTGCAGGACTGTGTGGACACTGGGAGGCACTGCCTGATTTGTCGGGCACATTGTTCTGTGTGAGGATAAGTAAGCGGCTGTGTTTCCTACTTTGAGTTACCCTCACTCCTTTAACTGTCCCTGCTGTGGACATCAGATTGCCCCAGTTCTCTTGTTTTGTCGACGTGATAGATGTAGAGAATGAATGTAGAATCACCTCTGCAACCACCCACATGGGGCAGAGCCCTACAGAGGTCACTGTCAGGACAAAGGAGACAACAGTTTATTTGGGGAGAGAAGTTATAATTACTATCTGTGACTGCAGTTGTAACTTAGTTCACAGACAAAGACATTGAAAATAATGCCACCTCCCACTTTGTTCAGTGTTTTCTTGATATGATCCTTAGCCAGTGGATGTCTTAGGACAGAATTGTACTCAGTGTTTTGCAGTGTGCCCATGTTCTTGTCCTCTGAACCCTACCAGATCTGGGTGAGCAGCCCCCACAATGCCACTGGGTACTATACGGTCTATGGGGAGGAGGCGCTGCATGCTGACCACTTCAGTGCCAGGCTGAGCTTTGGAGACACCCAGACCATTTGGGCAAGGACTGGCTACCTTGGCTTCCTTCGCAGGACCGAGCTCACTGATGCCAGTGGAGGTGAGGCCTGCCTCAACACTACAGGGATATGGAGTTGCCCAGCTTGCTTACCCAGACATCTCTGTCTATAGGGGCCCCAGCTACCTGCCAGTGCCCTCCTTGCTAAGATTTATGTTGTGAAGTGTGTAGTGAAGGACATGCTCCAATAGCAAATAGCACTTTTCTCTGAATGATGCTGTTTTTCCCTCTATGGCTGTCCCTCACTGTCTGGGACCCTTTGTCTCTGCTGAGGATATGGTGAGGGTGGCGTGGCAGCGGTTGGCCATAAGGCTGCAAGGCTCTTCCCCAGGTGGTGTGGCCTTCCCAGCAACTGTGTTTTTACCAGCACAGTGATGCTGTGTGTGGCGCCCTCCCACCCTGACCCATTCACTTGTGGCCAGTGTCCAAGGGACTGGCCACTGCAGACCAATCAGTTCAAGTCAGAGATTCTGTAGTCCATAGTACTATTCTGTTTCCATAGATTAAAAATTATTTCAAAATACATATTCACACATTGTTTAATGTTGGTGAGTTTGTTACCCACTGTAGAGTGAGACTAAGCTGCCAGCGTCTTCATCAGCATCTTCATTTGCATGAGGCGTGGGCACCAAGGAATTTTGGCACCAGGCCTCCCTGTGTCAGAGGGCACCTGGAGGTGTGCAGATTGTGTGCCTGGCCTTCTGAGCATGCATGTCCACACGCGTTGTTCACAGAACGACATGATGCATTATACGTTGTGGGATCCCTGGATGAAACGCTCGAGCTGAGAGGCATGCGGTACCACCCCATTGACATCGAGACCTCTGTGATCCGAGCACACAGGAGCATTGCTGAGTGGTAAGAGCCCAGTGGAGGGCAGTTCTTCCTCCGGCATAGCACTGCATGTCAGGCAGAGCCAGGTCCTGGTATAGCATTAGGACAGACTCCCACACCATCCCCACAGTGCCTAGCAGAGCTGGATTGCCATTTCTAGATGAGCCCTGTGCCCCCAGAATGTACCACAGGCTGCCCACCCTCCTGGAAGGACCTGAACTTCTTGCAGGTTCTTTTGGACAGGTTCCTATGAAACACAACAGAGAGCACACCACATTGCCTTCACTGGGGATTTAATTTTTCATTTCCTGATCAATTTTATACCAAGAGACTGCCTCCAAACATACAGGCAAAACCTAACATTTCCACTATTTTCATCTTGAAGTGCTTCTGCTTCAAATCTGATTGTCTTGATTTAAATGGTTACAACTCATATGTTTCCTTCACTTCATAGAGAGCTCACATTGGGACAGGTTACAGTCTTCAGTATCAAGTAATTCTCTTGATTCTTATCAGGAACTTTAATAGATATTCCTTTAATGGTGTTAACTAGCAGTGCAGTGCTAATGAATGTAAGCTGGCATCTTCACTTTCTTTGGTGCCTTTCCCAAACCTCTGCTGACCCCAGTGCTGTGCACCTGTGTGACCGTCTGTCCCCTTGCAGTGCTGTGTTCACTTGGACCAACCTGCTGGTGGTGGTGGTGGAGCTGGATGGGCTGGAACAGGACGCTCTGGACCTGGTGGCACTGGTGACCAACGTGGTGCTCGAGGAGCACTACCTGGTGGTGGGCGTGGTGGTCATCGTGGATCCTGGTGTGATCCCCATCAACTCTCGTGGCGAGAAGCAGCGCATGCACTTGCGGGACGGCTTCCTGGCTGACCAGCTGGACCCGATCTACGTGGCCTACAATATGTGAGCATAGCCAGATGGCTGAGCATGGGAGCCAGAGAAGGGCAAGGCAAGGAGGCACTGCTGTCTCTACCCTGGAGGAGGGTACAGACTCCAGCCGGTTACACCTTCCTGTGACTTTATGGATCCCTCTCAACAGTTCCTGGCTCTCATTTTTGAAAACACTTCCTGAATTAGCTAAAGAAGTATTTTGTATCTTCCAAGTACATTTACATGAAAGCCAGCATTTGAACAGATGGGGTGACTGGGAAGGAAAGGAAGGACTGGCCTGGCACTGTGGGGAGTCATTGGCACTGTGGCTGTTCCCTGCCATCCTGCGAACTTGCACTTTTTTTAGGCTAAAGATATAGTTCCTGATTTTTAAAACTCAGTTACTGACTCCTACTTGAAATGACAGGTTCATATGTAGAATCTATGCTGGAGAGAACTTGAGACCACAGCACAGCTGCCCTACTTCTGTCCCACAGGCAGAGGCGAGCCCAGCAAGATTGATGGAAGCGGGTCACCTCGCCCTCCAAGCTTACCTGCTGCATTGCAGCCACACACAGCATTTCCTTTTTTGCCAGTTTCATTATTAAAACAGGTGTGACTGGTTGTCTGCATATGTTACCACTAACACTCAGTAAGTGCCATTTTGGACTGTCAAGTTAGATTCTCTGTTTCAGAAAGATAAACCAGCATTTAGTTTAAAATCATTTTCCTGTTTGTAACTTCATGTTTAGTTAAAGTGATAGATTTTGTAATGTCATAATACTAATTCTTCTCATGGAAGTGTACTGAATTGTTACTTTTATTCCAAGTCAGCAGATCTGGAAGTGTGGGTGGCAGTCATGCCTTAAGGCCTGTGTGCTGCCTGTGCCTCCAGCACAAGTCAGGTACACTGGGACTCTGTTCTCACTGGGACGGACACATTATAATCTCACTGGCCTTCGCATTTTGAGTTGTGTGCCTACCTACAAGATTTGGCCAGACCATTTCAGTTACTTTATTCAAACTTGTCTAATCTAGGTGATCTAATATTATACTGAACCTAAATCAAAGAAGAAAATATAAAATCCTTTAAATACTTCTAAGAATTTAAAGTCAAGCACGAATCTAAAAGGTTATTTTTATATAGCTATTAAAGAATATGTTATGAAGGTGTTGGGTTTTGGGGAGTTTGAGGATGGGGAAGTTATGAACCATGCATGCTTCAGAGAAACAACCAGGTTTTGGGGAAATTAGCCTGGATCAGTGCCTAACAAGCTGTTACCATTTCTCCAGTGAGTCCAGCCACCTGGGCATACTCTCAGATCTTGCTGTTGTTTGGCTCAGATAGCACTGTGAGTAGCAGCCCTGTTTGCCCATGATGTTGAACTGCTGTGAAGTATGTTTTGACGCACTGAAATTCTAACAATCCTGTTGTAATTATGTACAGAACCCATGTAACTTACTGTGTGGCACCCAGAGGTTCCAGCAGTGGGGTAATAAATGCTTTTTTTTTTTTTTTTTTTACAGTAGAATGGCTGGGAAAGGAACAGAACTACCTAACCCCAATCTCTATGTTGTAGTTTTGTAGCACACAAAAGTCGTAAGCTTTTTGCATTAAAAAGGCCTTTGGCAGTGAAACAAGGTATCTGTTAAGTTAAGACTTTAAGAAGCACATTAAAGTATTTTAAAGTTACTCTCTGGGAATTCTGTATATCACACTAAATTTTTTATATCATGTTAATAAAAGCTATTGACTTTTGTAATTCTGCATTTTGAGATGTGTGAAAAGGTTCTTAAATTTACCCCAATTAGCTGGTGGAGTGGTTCAAGCTGTAGAGTACCTGCCTAGCAAGTGTGAGTTCCTCAGTTCAAACCCGTGTCACCAACAAACAAAAACACAAAACAACAACAAAAAAAACCCAAGCTGCTTTAGGCTGGCAGAGTGGCTCAAGTGGTAGAGCTCCTGCCTTGCAAGAACAAAGCCCTGAGTTCAAAACCCAGTGCCACAAAAAAAAAAAAAAAACACATTATGCATTATTTCTTTCAGAATATTAATAGCTATGCTTATAATAAAATCTAGAAAGTACATTAAACCATAAGGAAGAAAAATTTAAATCTTCTATAGTCCTACCTCTGAGTAATAGCAGCAGCCTTAGTATTAACAGAAACCTCGGAACACTTGATAAATTGCAGACTTTAAGCCTGCTACACATACTCTTGACACGTCTCAGTGACTGTGCCATGTGGTGTGCCACAAGCACTGTCTTTCCAATGCTGCTGTAGCCTCCTCACCTCACAATGGCATCGGGGTCACTTCCCACACGTAGTAGTGCGTGTAGTGACACATGACACACTCTGTGATGTCAACTGTTTTCAAGCTGGATATAGTCATTTCTACTGATTTGAAGGAGTCATTGTATATCAAGAATTATAACCTCAGAATCCATTCTTCTGCTAATGGATCGTTGTATCTTGATTCAATTTATTTTGACTCAGATTTTTAATTTTCTTATTTTCGAGTTAGTATACATTGATGATACAAGGGTTTTTTGTTGTGGTAATTCCACACATGTGCAGTGTACTTAGAACAAGTTCATCCCTCCATTATATTTTCCTTCCCTTCTCTCCCCCTCTTCAAACAGTATTTCCTGGGTTTCATTCTACCGTGTATCCTGTACTTCAGTCCTCTTCACCCCTCAGTGTTCTGTACTTTTCTCATCTCATCATTTTAGGTCCAGGTTCCACAACTGAACAAGAATATGTGACTTTCGATTTTTAAGCTTGGCTTACATCACTTAACATTATCATCTCTAGTTCTATCCATTTTCCTGCAAATGACATGATTTCATTTTCCTTTATGGCTAAGTAATATTCCATGATATATTTTCTTCATCCATTCATTGGTTGTTGGGAATGTCAGGTAATTCCACAATTTGGCTACTGTGTAGAGAGCTGCAATAAACATCTCTCTTGTATATTGATTTATACTCCTTTGGGTGTATGCCCAAGACTAGTATGGCAGGGTCATAAGGTAAGTCTATTTTTAGTTTTTTGAGGAACCTCCATACTGATTTCCATAGTGGTTGTCCTGGTCTACATTCCAACAGTGGAGGAGGGTACTTTCCCCTGTATCTCTCCAGCATTTATTGTTTGTTTTCTTGATGATGGCCAATCTGACTGGGTTGGGATGGAATCTTAGTGTGCCTGTTCTTTATGGCTAAGGAGGTTTCATGAATTTCTTAGCCATTTGAATGTCTTCTTTTGAGTACTGTCTGTTCAGTTTGTTTGCCCGTTTATTAATTTGATGCTGTGTCCATTTGCTGTTTGCTTTTTTGCATACTTTAGTTATTATCCTTTATCTTTTGGATAGATGGTGAAAATTTTCCCATTCTGTGGGCTATCATTTGATTTTGGTAACTGTTTCTTTTGATGTGCCAAAACTTTTTAATTTGATTCAGTCCCATTTGTCAATTCTTACTTTTATTTCTTGAGCAATTGGAATCCTCTTAGAAAATAATAACCCATGCCTGTATCTTCAGAGTTTTCTCTATTTTTTCCTGTAGTAGTGGAATAGACTAAGGAACATTGGTGTTAGTTCTTCTTTAAAGGTCTAGTAGGATTTGGCAGTGAATCCCTCTGGTCCCAGACTCTTCCTTCTTGAGAGACATTTTAGTATTGCTTCAGTTTCATTCCTCGTTACAGGTCTGTTCAGGTGGTCGATATGCTCATGGGTCAATTTAGGTTGGTCCTATGTGTTTAGAATTTTATCCATTTCTTCTTGATTTTTCAGTTTATTGGAGCATAAGTTTTTTATGTATTCCTAATGCTCCTCTAAATACCATTGTCATTTGTTGTAATATTTCCCTTTTCATCTCTAATTTTATTAATTTGGGCCCTCTCCCACATTCTTTTGGTTAGTTTGGCTGAGGGTTTATCAGTCTTATATATCTTTTGAAAGAATCTAGTTTTTTATCTCATTGATTTTTTTTTTAGCCTCCATCTCACTCATTTCAACCCTGATCTTTATTATTTCCTTCTGACTACTAATTTGGGGTTTGGCTTGTTCTTGTATTTTCTCAGAGGTTGGGGTGCGTTGTTACATTATTTGTTTGAGATCTCTGACTTTTAATGTAGACACTTACAGCAATAAACTTAGCACTGCCTTTCCTGCATCCCAGAGGTAAGATGTGTTTTCATTTGTTCTAGGAATTTCATTTATTCCCCCTATTTCTTCAATGGCCCACTGATAAAGCAGCATTCCTTGAAGTTGCTCATTCTTACTGTGTCTGAGGATTTTCTGTGGGTTCTTTTGCTCCTGATTTCTACTTTTATTCCAGTGTGGTCTCATAAAATACAGGAGATCCTTTCTATTTTCTTGTATTTGTTAATACTTGCTTTATTTTCTAAAAAAGTGATCTGTTTTGGGGAAAGTTCCATGGGCTGCTGAGAAGAATATGTATTCTATAGCTCTTGGGTGAAACATTCTGTAGATGTCTGTTAAGTCCATTAGGTCCATAGTATGGTTTAATTCTGGTTTCTTTGTTGATTTTTTTGTTTGGATGGACTATCTGTTTGTGAGAGTGTAGTAGTAAAGTCATCTCACTATTGTGTTGAGTGTTTATGTGTGCTTTTATGTCTGGTAGTGTTTGTTTTATGAAATTGGGCATGTCAGTGTTCGATATATACATGGTTCCAACTGCTATCTCCTCCTGATGAGTTGTTCCCTTTATCAGTATGACGTGATCTTGTCTTTTTTGGCTAACTTTGTTTTGAAGTCTGCTTTGTTAGATATGAATATAGCTACTTCTTCTAGCTTTCAGGCTCCATTTGCTTGGAAAATCTTTTTCCATCTTTTCACTCGAAACCTGTTTGTCTTTGTGAGGTGCATTTCACATCATCAACAAATGGTTGGGTCTGTGTCTTTTGACTAAAGAATTGAGACCCTTAGCATTCAGAGTTGTTGGAAGGTATGCAGTAATCCCTGTCATTTTGCTGATTTTAATGTTTGATTCTTTCCTAAACCTCATTTACTTATTGACTCATCTAGTGAGATTTATTCATTCCCATATTTTCCTGATTGCAATCATGTTCCTCTTTTGTGTACAGGATTCCTTTAAATAATCTTCTGCAATGCTGACCCAGTGGTCATGAATTCCTAGAAGTTTTTATTTCTCCTTCAATTATGAAGGATAGCTTTGCTGGACACCATAATCTAGGTTAGCAGTTACTTTCTTTCAAGGCTTGAAATACATCATTCTACCCACCCCACCCCACCGCTTACTTTTATAGTTTCTGTTGCTAAATCTGCTGTTATTGTGACATGTTTCTTTTATATGTGACTTGGCACTTCTCTTGCATGTTTCCATATCCTTTCCTTGAGTATATTTAATGTTTTAACTATAATATGTCTTGGGAAGGTTCTTTTCTGGTCTTGTCTATTTGGTGTCCTGATTTAAGAAATTTTCTCCTCTTATTTTATTGAATGCTTTTAGTTTGTACCTTTTCTTCTAAGCCCATGGTTTGTAGGTTTTGTCTTTTAATGATTTCCCACGGGTCTTCTTTTCTTTTTTTCTTTTTTTGTGATGCTGGGGATGTGACCAGCTCTGTACATGCTAGACAAGCACTCTGCTACTGTGCCATGTCCCCAGCCCTCCCACAGGTCTTGCTTGTTCCATTTCTACTTTATTTTTTCTTTATATTTTTCTGGCTGTTCTAACACATTTACCTGTCTTCATGCCCCAATATTCCTTCTTCTACTTGATGCAGTTTACTGGAGGAGAGGCATGCTTTCTTTCTTTCTTTTTTTTTTTGGCAGTGTAATGCCATTTACTGGCGGAACCTGGGTGAGGGAACTACTGAGTCCTGCTCAGTAGCCACTTTAATGAAGTATACATTGCTTTTTATAAACTCCTTTTACACAGAGAGCATTTGGTCAGAAAAAGCACGCCAAGTATTACATGTCAAGGTTACATTAGCACAGGGAAGCACAGTTAAAATTAACTCTTTGTTATGTCTCCTTTAAAACGGGAACAGAGAAGCAGGAGAAGCACATGGTCAACATAACTTCCTTATTTACATCTGAAGGACACGAAGCCATCTGGGAACCTTGAATACTGTTTTTCTGGACATCTGGCTTTCTCACAAGGGCAGATACCAACACACACAGGCACAGTCTGGTCCGAGACTTTTGTCCCAGTTCCTTGGAGCTTTCTCACAAGGCCAGATGCTGACTGACACAGGCAAGGTCCCACTGCTGGCTCTGACATGGCAGTACTGAGGTTTAAACTTAGGGCCTCAAGCTTGCTAAGCAAGAGCTCTACTGCTGAGCCATTCCCGCAGCCCTTGGAGAGGCTTTCAACTGATTTTTTTGTTTGACTTATTGAGCTTTTCATTTCCAGAACTTCAGTGTGACTTTTTCAGGATTTCTCTACCTTTATCAAATTCGTCTTTCATATCCTGCATTGTCTTCCTTATTTCATTCAGGTCTCTATTTGTGCTC